CCTACACTACCTACACTACTTACACTACTACCTCAATTTTCTTCCCACACTACACTACCATTACCCCCACCACCACTCATTACCAACCACACTACCCTATTCCTATTACCACTACCATTACTACCACTCCTACTGCCACCACCACTACCACTACTTACACTACTACTACTACTACTACTCAAATCATCCCACACTACCCTATTCCTACCAACTACACTACCATTACTATTACTCTTAATACCACCACCACCACCACTACTACCACCAATTTCATCCCACACTACACTATTATTCCTATTACCAACTAATCTACCCTCACTACCATTATTCTCACTCGCGGGGTGTCCACGGCGTTATTTCCACATTATTTACCGGGGTTTTCACGCGGGTTATCGACGGGTTATTTACCGGGGTTTTCACGCGGGTTATCGACGGGTTATTTACCAGCGTTTTCACCTGGGTTATCTCCACATTATTTACTGGGGTTTTCATGGCCGTTATCTCTGCCTTATTTACCAGCCTTTTAATGCCCATTATCTCCAGCTTTTCTACTGCCATTTTCATCCCAGTTCACTCCCCATTACTTTTCCTACTTCTCTCACCAACTCACTAATCTCTAATCTCTACTCATCATACAAACTACTAGTCTGTCTTACCACTCCAGATAACCAACCAGTCCCTTATTTTTGCTAGTCATATTCAAGTCAGTCCCTAGTCAGTCAGTAGTTACTACTACATCCCTTCGTAGCTAGTCCACTTTTTTTGCTAATCAACTCACTACTCATCTTCAATCCAAATAACCAACCGGTCCCTTATTTTCCTAGTCCCTCATCAGTAGTCAGTGGTTCTTGCTAACTCCCCTTTTTTGCTAATTACTTGCTAGTCATCTTGTGTCCAGATAACCAACCAGTCCCTCATTTTTTGCTAGTCATATTCAAGTCAGTCGGTAGTCAGTAGGTGCATGCTCACTACTACATCCTTTCATAGTCCACTGTTCCAAATAAGCAACTGCTCACCTATTTTTTTTTGCTATTTGGTAGTCAGTGGTCATTGCTAACTCCACTTTTTTTTGCTAATTACTTGCTAGTCATCTTGTCTCCAGATAAGCAACCGGTCGCTTATTTTTTGCATTCTTAGTGGCTGTGCTGCTTCCCTTCACCAACTTTCTGGTCCCTGTGTATTTATTTCCTTATATGGTGGTTGCATGCAGTGGCTGTGTAGGTTTCATTCAGTGGCTGTGAGGTTTCATTCACTCACTAAGAGGTTGCATGCAGTGGCTGTGTAGGTTTCATTCAGTGGCTGTGTAGGTTTCATTCAGTGGCTGTGAGGTTTCATTCAGTGGCTGTGTAGGTTTCATTCAGTGGCTGTGAGGTTTCATTCAGTGGCTGTGTAGGTTTCATTCAGTGGCTGTGTAGGTTTCATTCAGTGGCTGTGAGGTTTCATTCAGTGGCTGTGTAGGTTTCATTCAGTGGCTGTGAGGTTTCATTCAGTGGCTGTGTAGGTTTCATTCACTCACTAAGAGGTTGCATGCAGTGGCTGTGTAGGTTTCATTCACTCACTAAGAGGTTGCATGCAGTGGCTGTGTAGGTTTCATTCACTCACTAAGAGGTTTCATTCAGTGGCTATGTAGGTTTCATTCAGTGGCTGTGTAGGTTTCATTCAGTGGCTGTGAGGTTTCATTCAGTGGCTGTGAGGTTGCATGCAGTGGCTGTGTAGGTTTCATTCACTCACTAAGAGGTTGCATGCAGTGGCTGTGAGGTTTCATTCAGTGGCTGTGTAGGTTTCATTCACTCACTAAGAGGTTGCATGCAGTGGCTGTGAGGTTTCATTCAGTGGCTGTGTAGGTTTCATTCAGTGGCTGTGTAGGTTTCATTCAGTGGCTGTGAGGTTTCATTCAGTGGCTGTGCAGGTTTCATGCAGGAAACCTTCCATATAAGGCAGGTTTCATGCGGACCCTGGGGCAGGGTCCGGAAAGTAGAATATTAGGGTTATTGTGCCCATTCTCACCTGCATTGACTCACCCCTTATTTCCCAGCTATCATCCCAGTTCACTCACCATTACTTTCCCTCGTCTGTAGCCCCTAGTCCCTTGTCATGTCTCATGTGTCCATAGTCACTAGTCCAAATCACCACCCATCACTTATTTTCTTGTCATCACTACTCACCAGTCAGTAGTCTGTAGTCGCATTTCAGTCGTCTGTCCTCACTTTCTAGCCACTCGGTCTTCATAGTCAGTAGTAGTCCCTCGTCACTCCCCAGTCCAGATAACCAACACATCCCTTACCTTCTATACTCATACTTTCCAGTTCAGCCTTCGTCCCTTGCCATCAGTAGTCTGTCATCACCACTTAGTCCTCATCCTTATCACTCACCTGTCTCTCTTGCTTTTTTCTCCTTTGGCCTCCCTAGTACCTGTTCCAGATAAGCAACCGGTCGCTTGTTTTTCCCAGTCCCTGTCGCTGCCACATGTACAAATCCCTGCTCTTCTATTCATGTCTGTGAGTGCTCGTGATACCACATGATCAGGTCAATCAAGTTGCTGTGATGTCCTTGCCTCGGTCGCCCCATCAACCACTTCAAATACACTCCACCCTCCCCCCACCTTTCCCCAAACTTTTTCTCTGCTTCCCTTCGTAACTCCTCATTCAGATATACCAACTACTCCACCTACCTATCACACACTACCCTACTTACAACACCTACTCTACCCTATTCCTAATCCTACTACCAACTTTTCTTTTTTCCATCTACTCCATACTCTATTCTCCTATTACCAACTACCCTACATCACTTACACTACTACTACTACTCTCCCAATCCTACACTATCCTATCATTCCTACCAACTACACAACCTACACTACTACTATCAATCACTACCAACACTACCCTACTTACCCTACTTACAACACCTCCCATTTCCCCCTACACTACCCTATTCCTACTACCAACTCTACCAACCACACAACACATTTCCAACTACACTACTCTCTTATTCTCAACTACCCTACCAATTCTACCTACACCACCACCACCACCACCACTACTACTACTCTTTTCCTCCCACATTATCACTTCCTTATTACCAACTACACTACCATTACTATCACTACTACTTACATTCTCACACACTACCCTATTCCTATTACCTACAACACCACTACTACCTCTCTTTTCTTCACTCCCTACTCTATTCCTATTCCTACTACCAACTTTTCTTTTTTCCATCTACACCACATTCTTATTTCCATTACCACCACTACTCCTATTACCAACTACCCTACTTTCTCTACCACAATTTTCTTCCCACCCTACACTACCTACACTACTTACACTACTACCTCAATTTTCTTCCCACACTACACTACCATTACCCCCACCACCACTCATTACCAACCACACTACCCTATTCCTATTACCACTACCATTACTACCACTCCTACTGCCACCACCACTACCACTACTTACACTACTACTACTACTACTACTCAAATCATCCCACACTACCCTATTCCTACCAACTACACTACCATTACTATTACTCTTAATACCACCACCACCACCACTACTACCACCAATTTCATCCCACACTACACTATTATTCCTATTACCAACTAATCTACCCTCACTACCATTATTCTCACTCGCGGGGTGTCCACGGCGTTATTTCCACATTATTTACCGGGGTTTTCACGCGGGTTATCGACGGGTTATTTACCGGGGTTTTCACGCGGGTTATCGACGGGTTATTTACCAGCGTTTTCACCTGGGTTATCTCCACATTATTTACTGGGGTTTTCATGGCCGTTATCTCTGCCTTATTTACCAGCCTTTTAATGCCCATTATCTCCAGCTTTTCTACTGCCATTTTCATCCCAGTTCACTCCCCATTACTTTTCCTACTTCTCTCACCAACTCACTAATCTCTAATCTCTACTCATCATACAAACTACTAGTCTGTCTTACCACTCCAGATAACCAACCAGTCCCTTATTTTTGCTAGTCATATTCAAGTCAGTCCCTAGTCAGTCAGTAGTTACTACTACATCCCTTCGTAGCTAGTCCACTTTTTTTGCTAATCAACTCACTACTCATCTTCAATCCAAATAACCAACCGGTCCCTTATTTTCCTAGTCCCTCATCAGTAGTCAGTGGTTCTTGCTAACTCCCCTTTTTTGCTAATTACTTGCTAGTCATCTTGTGTCCAGATAACCAACCAGTCCCTCATTTTTTGCTAGTCATATTCAAGTCAGTCGGTAGTCAGTAGGTGCATGCTCACTACTACATCCTTTCATAGTCCACTGTTCCAAATAAGCAACTGCTCACCTATTTTTTTTTGCTATTTGGTAGTCAGTGGTCATTGCTAACTCCACTTTTTTTTGCTAATTACTTGCTAGTCATCTTGTCTCCAGATAAGCAACCGGTCGCTTATTTTTTGCATTCTTAGTGGCTGTGCTGCTTCCCTTCACCAACTTTCTGGTCCCTGTGTATTTATTTCCTCATATCATGGTTCCATGCAGTGGCTGTGTAGTGGCTGTGTAGGTTTCATTCAGTGGCTGTGCAGGTTTCATGCAGAGGCAATGGTGGAGTCTGGAAAGTACAATATTAGCCCCTGATGTGCATGTGAAACCCCTATTGACATGTGCATGCAACAGCCCCTATTGATGCATGCATGCAACAACCCCTATTGACGCATGCATGCAACAGCCCCTATCAATGCATGCATGCAACAGCCCCTGTCAACGCATGCATGCGACAGCCCCTATTGGCGCATGCATGCGACAGCCCCTATTGACGCATGCATGCGACAGCCCCTATTGACGCATGCATGCGACAGCCCCTATTGACGCATGCATGCGACAGCCCCTATTGACGCATGCATGCGACAGCCCCTATTGACGCATGCATGCGACAGCCCCTATTGACGCATGCATGCGACAGCCCCTAATGCGCCGGACTCTGCGCAGGGTCCAGGAAGTAGATTATTAGGCTGGTCAGCCAAAAGCGGTCCCCTTTTCAATGCAAGTGTTGAAGCAGATCCAGAAGTCCATGGAGGCAATCATCCGAGAGGACCCTTCACGATTTGCAAACTATGGTTCCTTCTTCTTTGTCCTGGAATGCAAGGGAATCAAGTTGTGGACGAAAACCACCCTGTCAGGAGCCGTTCAAACGCCAGTCCAAGCTCTCCTCCATGGACTTCCAGCTCTGGATTGGTCCCACATGGTAGACAGGGCCAATGGGGAGCTCTTGGTCGACTTGGGAATCAGCATTCACCCCACATGTGATGAAAAGCTCGTTGGATTGTGGAGACTGGATGCCCTGGAAGCTTCCTTTGGGGCAGGTGGATATTTGCGAGGAAATGCCCACCACACTTGCATGCTTGGACGGTATGGGGGGATCCAAGCAGAGATGTCACAGGAGCGAGCAAGGCAAACTCACATTGCATTCAGAAGTGCATATAATCTGGCCTACGAGGTGATCCGACCCAACGACAACAGCCCCACCTTTGTCATGGACAAGGATGCTTATGCCCTGAACAATGACTTCATTGGGGAATGCATGCAGGCCATCAACATGTATTCTGGAGATGCAAAGAAGAGGTCATATGGGGTGCGAGACGAGTACAGGATGAGTGGGGCTGCAGTGGAGCAGGCAATACTGGTGGTGCCACAAAGGGTGATGCATTTCCAAGCTCCATCATGCTCATATCTGATGCTTCCATCTTTGCAGATGGAAGAGCTTTTAGCCTCCAATCCCATTCTCTGGATCCCGACCAAAGTCTGGTTGGAATTTATGGCTAGACACATCAGGGCCCTCCAGTTGGCTCAGATCTCTCTCAAGGAACTGGAACCACCCAACCTTGGGATTCTGACTGGCATCATCTGCCACATGATTCGGTGCACGTCCACCACTGCAATAATCCTTGACTTCCATGTGAGAGAGTCCATGGCCCTTCTGCAGGTCTCCAGGGTGTGTGAGCGGTTTGGAATGTTCTTCCTTTTGGACCTGGACTTGCATCATGTCCCCCATCTTCCAGAAGTTCAGGATCATGACAACCTGGAGGTGCTCAAGCTGATGGAGGGAAAGTTGAAGAGGGGTGATGGACGACCTGCCTGGCCAAGGATTCCCCCTCTGGACGAAGTGGAACAATTTCCCATTGGCAGCAGACCGACGTGGGCCAAATTGACAAGGACCATCCAACTGCAGCCTTGGTTGATCATGCAGGACTGGAAGTGGTCGGCCCAACTGTCCAGTCTGGGGCCAGTGGTAGGGAAACTTTTCGTTCTGTTTACCTGTCAGCTTTGGATCCAGTTGGATGCGACTTGGCTGACAGGCTCAGAGGGAAAACCAGAGCCAACATCTTTGGAAGAAGCCATTCAGAGTTGGACTCTGAACCAGACCTTCAGGACAATACGTGCCTGTGAATTCAAGGCCTGCAATGCAGAAATTGCAGGGAGTGGAGGGGCTGGTTGCCGACAGTCAAGCTTTGCAGAGAGGGTCAACCTGTTTTTCCCAGGACCCACAGCAGGACAACCTTCACGGAGGTCACCATGGAATGTCTTCTGGACGAAGCCTGGCTATATTTGGGAGTATCACCAGGTGATGAAGAACAGGACACCCCTGGAGGAGTTTGAGGTGCTGGACCACCTTGGCAGGATATTTTCTGTCCTTCAGACATTACCTGATGCGACCAAAGGGAGTGAAAAGAGTCCTGGGAAGACATGGCGGGTGGAGGGTGAGAAGGTGGTTCTGGTGACAAATCCCAAGTTCTACAAGATCGAGGGTATCTCCACCGAGAAGGAACAGCAACAGGCCAGGAGATGAGCATCTCGAGTGGTAAAGCCCAGGAATGCACTGCAGATGGAGCTCCTGGAGCATGCAGGATATGACGAACTGCTGGCTAGCAAGGCCCTCATCTTAGAAAGGCAGAGGCTGAAAGAGGCACAGACTAAGAAGTCATCAAAGGCAAAGAATGCTCGAAAGGCTCCAGCAAGAAGAGGCAAGGCCACCTCATAGAGGGAAGCAGAGGGATGGGGAGGGGGAAGGCAAGGGTATGGGTACAGAGGGAGACAGTGATGAATTCTGTTCATCCAGTTCCCCATGTATCAATGATGTGGTGCCAACTTGTGGTGCACTCTGTGCGCTCGGTCGATGCACTCTGTGCACTCAGTTGATGCACTTCAAGGGGTCCAGCATGCTCTGAGGAGGAGTGGTCAGATGGGAACATTGGTATGTTATAAGATGGATTGTAGTTGTATTACCAGACATGCAATAGACATAGGAGAGTCAGGGAAAGATGGTTAGTGCACTGGAAACAGGTCTCAGGGTGTCCCAGTCAATGTGGACAGGGGCTTTGGTTCTGGATCAATGTTCATTGGTGTTTGTTGGTGCATGTTGCTGTTCATTGGTGTTCGATGGGGTTCGTCCTGTTGTATGGACCTGTGGATGTCCAAATTAGGTCGATTGAGGTGGTCCTAGTGGGGATGAACACCACTTCAAGGGGTCCAGCATGCCCCAAGGAGGAGTGGTCAGATGGAAATGTTGGTATGTTATACCTATGTATGTTATGTGTATTACAAGACATGCAATAGACCTAGGGGAGTCAGCAAAAGATGATTAGTACACTTGAAACAGGTCTCAGGGTGTCCCAGTCAATGTGGACAGGGGCTTCAGTTATGGATCAATGTTCATTGGTGATCATCAGTGTTTGTCCTGCTGTACAGACCTGTGGATGTCCAAATTAGGCTGATTGAGGTGGTCCTAGGGGGACGAACACCATTTCAAGCGATCCAGCATGCTCTGAGGAGGAGTGGTCAGATGGGAACATTGGTATGTTATATCATGTATTTTAGTTGTATTACCAGACATGCAATAGACCCTAGGAGAGTCAGGGAAAGATGGTTAGTGCACTCGAAACAAGTCATAGGGTGTCACAGTCAATGTGGACAGGGGCTTTGGTTCTGGATCAATGTTCATTGGTGTTTGTTCGTGTTTGTTGGTGTTCATTGGTGTTCGATGGGGTTCGTCCTGCTGTACAGACCTGTGGATGTCCAAATTAGGTCAATTGAGGTGGTCCAAGGGGGGACGAACACCACTACAAGTGATCCAGCATGCTCCGAGGAGGAGTGGTCAGACAGGAACATTGGTATGTTTTAAGATGTATTTTAGTTGTATTACCAGACATGCAATAGACACAGGAGAGTCAGGGAAAGATAGTTAGTGCACTCTAAACAAGTCGCAGGGTGTCCCAATCAATGTGGACAGGGGCTTCGGTTCTGGATCAATGTTCATTGGTGTGGGTTGCTGTTCTTTGGTGTTCAATGGGGTTCATCCTGCTGTATGGACCTGTGGATGACCCAATTAGGTCGATTGAGGTGGTCCGAGGGGGGACGAACACCACTTCAAGTGATCTGGCATGCTCTGAGGAGGAGTGGTCAGATGGGAACATTGGTATGTCTTAAGATGTATTTTAGTTGTATTACCAGACATGCAATAGACACAGGAAAGTCAGGGAAAGATAGTTAGTGCACTCTAAACAAGTCGCAGGGTGTCCCAATCAATGTGGACAGGGGCTTCGGTTCTGGATCAATGTTCATTGGTGTGGGTTGCTGTTCTTTGGTGTTCAATGGGGTTCGTCCTGCTGTATGGACCTGTGGATGACCCAATTAGGTCGATTGAGGTGGTCCGAGGGGGGACGAACACCACTTCAAGTGATCCGGCATGCTCTGAGGAGGAGTGGTCAGATGGGAACATTGGTATGTCTTAAGATGTATTTTAGTTGTATTACCAGACATGCAGACATGCAATAGACATAGGTGAGTCAGGCAAAGATGGTTAGTACACTCAGAACAGGTCTCCAGGTGTCCCTGTCAATGTGGACAGGGGCTTCGGTTCTGGATCAATGTTCATTGGTGTTCGTCAGTGTTCGTCAGTGTTCGTCCTGCTGTATGGACCTGTGGATGTCCAAATTAGGTCGACTTTGGTGGTCCTAGGGGGGACAAACACCACTTCAAGGGTCCAGCATGCCATGATGGGGAGTGGTCAGACAGGATCATTGGTATGTTATATCATGTATGTAGGTTGTATTACAAGACATGCAATTGACATAGGAGAGTCAGGCAAAGATGGTTAGCACACTCTAAACAAGTCACAGGGTGTCCCAGTCAATGTGGACAGGGGCTTTGGTTCTGGAACAGTGTTCTTCGGTGTGTGTTGGTGTTCGCCCTGCTGTACAGACCTAGACATGTTCAGAACAGGTCAATTGCAATTGAGCTAGGGGGGATGAACACCATGTCAAGCAGCCCAGCATGCTCCAAGGGGGAGTGGTCAGATGGGAACATCAGAATGTTATAAGATGTATTTTGGTTGTATTACCAGACATGCAATAGACCTAGGAGAGTCTGGGAAAAGTGATTAATGCATTCCACACAAGTCCCAGGGTGTCCCAGTCAATGTGGACAGGGGCATTGCTTCTGGAGTGATGTTCATTGGTGTTCGTTGGTGTTCGTCTGGCTGTATGGACCTGTAAATGTCCTAGCAAGGTCAATTGCAATTGATCTAGGAGGGACGAACACCACTTCAAATGGTCCAGCATGCCATGAGGGAGAGTGGTCAGACAGGAACATTGATATGTTATCTGATGTATTTTATTTGTATTACCAGACATGCAATCGACCTAGGGGAGTCTGGAAAAGCTGATTAATACATTCCAAACAAGTAAACAAGTCCTCCAGTATGTTTACTCAGGGCCATCCATGCTGGACTGATGTTCACAAATGTTTGCCCATGTTCATCAGTGTTTGTCATGGTGGACGGACCAGGACATGGTACTACAAGACCCATGCAAGTGGGCCTGTATGGATGAACACCATTCCAAGTGGGCCAGCATGCTCCGAGGCAGGGTGATCCAGTGGGCATACTGGTATACTATCTGATGTAGATTCTGTATTTCATTGTAATACATGCAGTAATATAGACATACAGGAATCTGGGAATGATGATCAATGTGCTTGAACCAGGTCCCAGGGTCTCCCAGCATTTGGACATGGTCTGGATAGGGGCTTTGGTAAGGGGTTGATGTTGGCTGGTGTTCATCTGTGTTGTCTGTCATTCCCCATATTGTATGGACCTGTACCTATCAACCTGAGAGCAGGGGAAGAGGTTTCCATGGTATGAACACCATTTCAAGTGGTGCAGCATGGTCTCAGCAGGGGTGGTCGGGTGGGCACACTGATAGAATATCCAATGTAATTTATTTGGATTACATGAAAGTCGATTGACCTACCAGAGGCTGCAAATGATGTTCCATCTGCTCCAAAATGAGTGACAGGCTGTCACAGTCAATTTGGACAGAGGCCATGGTGCTGGCTCGATGTTTGCTGGTGTTTGCAAACAATTTCCCATTAGCAGCAGACTGACATGGGCCAAATTGTCAAGGACCATCCAACTGCAGCCTTGGTTGATCATGCAGGACTGGAAGTGGTCAGCCCAACTGTCCAGTCTGGGGCCAGTGGTTGGGAAACTTTTCATTCTGTTTACCTGTCAGCTTTGGATCCAGTTGGATGCAACTTGGCTGAGAGGTTCAGAGGGAAAACCAGAGCCAACATCTTTGGAAGATGCCATTCAGAGTTGGACTCTGAACCAGACCTTTGTTGATATAGATTGTGGTTCCCATTCCTGTGGAACTGAATCCCAGTGTTGCCTAGTGTAGTCTGATCAGGTAGCAACATGTTTGGCATCTTGGGATGATACCTGGCCCAAATGTGAACCCCCCTCTTCAGCTTTGCTCCATCAAAACAATTCCAGATCAATCCAGCTGTCCATACCATGTCTGTGCCACTCGAATGACATGGCAGGACCATTTGGATCACACCAGAAAGGACCCTATGTGTCATTCCCCTCCTCTTATCCTGGGGGTGCTAATTCTGTAATGTTTAGGAAGCATGAAAGCTTGTCAGGAATGGTTGTCCTGGAGGGCCTGAAAGTCACAATGGATGATGACAATGGTAGCAGCATTCCTAGGTGTCAGAATATCCATGAAACATATATTACCCCCCCTCCCCATGTTCACTCCATCAAAACAATTTCAGAGATTGATCTAGCTATCTGAATCATGTCTACTCCATGGGTACTACATTACAAGACCATCAAAATTGCATTACAAAGGTCCCATATTTGTTTCATCGACATACCTGATCCCCTCCTCATACCCCAGGGATGGCAATCCAGTAACATCAGGAGGGGGTGCCAGCTTGCCAGGGATGGATGTCCTGGGTGTTATCAATGCCACTGAAGACAATGGAAATGATTTCCAGCCTCCCAGAAGTATTTCCAAAGAGATACCACTTTGTGGTCTGACCATCCTTCTACCCCCTGTAGATTTTTTTTCCAACCACCAATTTCATTCAAATTTCACCTGGGACATCCCAATGGACATATCTATCGACTCCCAGCATTATTTCCCCCAAATTATGGTCAGGAGTTTGTAATTATAATTCCCCCAGGGGCTGTATAATTGACCCTATGGACAGCTCAGACTAGATTACTGACAGTGATAATGAGCAATATATATTGTACACTGGTATGGGTCAATACTCTTTGGCTGTCTTGGACAGCCACTTGCAACACACAGGTGAGTACTCTTTGGCCATCTTGGACAGCCACCTGCAATGGAGGGTGTAAATCATGTGATTGACTAGTGGAGGTCCACCTCTGGCTGTCTTGGACAGCCATCCACATATGGGCATGTCAGTCACATGACCGATGTGCCCATGGTGAGGGATGGCCATCTTGGACAGCCAACCGGTGTGAGCACACTTCAGTCATGTGACTTGCCTACTGCAGTGCAGGATGGCCATCCAAGACGGCCACGCTGCATGATGGAGGATGCGGTCATGTGATCATGAGCCTGTTGGGCTGGTGGCCATCCTGGATGGCCAAAGCCGCCATCACATGATTGCTCACCCTCCTCATGATGCAATGGGGGCTCAGTTGCCATATATGGAACCCCAGTGCCCAAATAGGAAGTCCATGGGGTTAGGTGTAGGGTCAGCACAGCCCCAGGGTTGGCCGAAAATTCCACCCTACAGGGGCCCATAACCCTAAAATTGCATCAATCTTGAGATCAGCAGATATCCTGCAGTTGCTCATGATCCTGCCCACATCAAACATCCTCAATGTCCATGCCTGCAGTACCAGGTCACCATGACCTCTGACTGCTCTAGACACTGGTGCCTGATGCTGCACACAATGGCATTGAGTCATAGTGGTGATGACATTTATGGGGGTTTTCAATGGGTGGAGCACTATGATAGCCAAAATAGGCAATGGTGGTCTTAGGGCCAGTGTTTGTAAATGGACCATAGCACCAAGGAAAAGCAGACCATAACCTACATAACAGACAGTTTAGATTATTAGTTTGTTTTTTGTCCCAAAACAGTCTATTTAAATTACTTAGTGAAATACTCAGAACAAACACCAAATAATTGTCAACCTCCCCTGCACCCCCTGCTCTCCCCTAATTATATGATTATGTGATAGACGGTCCATGCGACGAATCATCTAAGAGTGGCACAAATGAAAATGTTCGTTTTCGAGGTGGAAGGTTTGACTTGAGGGTCGTGGAAGGCGCAGGCATATATGCTGGTCGCGTGGATACGGGAGGAGGAGGCACGGGGATGTTATGAGGTGCAAGTACCATCGATGACGAGGGCACATTGATATCACGTGACTGGGTATCACGTGCGAGGCAAAGCGCCTTTGGAGGCGATATGGCACCAGGTGGTGTGGACGGAGGCGAGGACATGTGTCCAGTCGACGAAATGACGGTTGGGTTGAGAGGTAAAAGTGGGATAGGTACCTTGGCGAGGAAGACGTTTGCGAATGGCTTGGACGAGAGAACGTCAGCAGGTTGTTCTGCACGGGGAAGCTCGCGGAGCAGCATTTTGAGTTTGAGGACGTCGCTGCCAATTGATTGGAAAGTGTCAACAAAGAACGGGTGAGATGTGTCGTGTGACCCCACTTACTCGTAGGTAAGACGTTGTATCTCAGCGGGCGTCCTATCCCACTCATCAGCCTCATGCACCTCTTCGGTTCCCTCCTCGGAGAACGCAACGTGTTTCTTTATGGGATGCGGAGAGGCATCGTCGTCGTTTGGAGGTGTCGAAGTGCCGGAGTGAGAAGGTGAGTTTTTGAGACATGACCTGATACGAGGCAGAGCTGGTCTACAAGTGGGAGGATCATCGCACGAGACCGTGGGTGGGTCGGATGTGCTGTCGGGCGGGGTGTCGATGTCGGTGCCAGTCATGTTACTGCGTCTACGCGTGTTGGTGTTGGTGGTGATGGTAGTGTAGGGACGAGTTATCCAGTAAGTACTTACTCACAAACTCAACGATGGCGATGATTTGCGGACATGGGAAGGACGAAAAGCCAAATACGCTGTTGGCTGGTTGATCGGACAGACGGACGGGCGACTTCGGAGGAATGTGACATCAAAAATATTTGTGGCACTGACTTGTCCACTTGTACGTTTACATAAAAAGGCTACATAGATAAGAAATGCGGTTTACCAGTACTATAAGCTTATAGCCATTCGCACTACATACCAGGCAAGCATTGGGTTTCCGCTGCATTCCGAGTCAAGTCAGACACTCCCGCCATTCGGTACCAACACCCCCACCGAGACCTAAAAGGGGGCGTTGCCACTAACCCGATTCCGACTCTTCCCACTGTCAATGTCGGTGGGCCCTCGCCGTCGCCCAGGATAGAGTCATGTACATACGTGAAGTACGTCTACATACATACCAGCTGAAGCGCTGACCCTTACACCCCCTCCCCAATTTGCCTAATATCGTCTCCCCTCGCGCATTCGGATGTATCCTCTGTCCAAGTGCCCCTATCCTGAGGGGGCAACCTAGTCACGTTAACCTAACTTTTCATTTTCTCACTACACTTTATCGACGGGCTCTTCATCCCTCCGATTATGGATGACATGACGGACCTTTGTGTTGATCCTGGCTTGATCCTGGCCATTGACAAGAATCCCTTGCGAAGGTGGGCGCATCAGGCGCCGAGTAGACGCTGTGAACAGCATTCCGGCGACATGCCACGTAGCAAATAACGTCTCCCTCGTGAACAAATGCAATCCGAAATAGACATATTACCTACATCCACGAAGATATCCCTTTAGCCGAGGAGACATCGAATTAGAATCAAGGGAGAGCGGTTTCTTAAAAAATGCGTTGTGCAAACGCATCGCCTCGACTGAACGCACACCTAGAAATGTGCATCATTGGCCGTTTTTCTTGGGTTTGGGTGGTCGACTCGTACAATTCTGATCTCCGTCGCGTCGGAAGGGGCCCAGTTACGAATTAGGACTGCAGCTTGCATAGAACTAGTGGTACGGACGACCCGTTGCAAGGCATCTCGACCTATCGTCCTAGCACACTAGTAGGCTGCCACACAGAGGCATAGGTGGCGAATAGCATACTGGGGGTCACTGTCAAGGACTGAGTCAGTCAAGGGCATCATTGTATTTTGCATGGTCCAACTAGCAAGGTGGCAGTCCCTTTGGTGAAGAAAATGATGATCGAAAACGTTATTGGCCTTGCAGTCGTGTGACAACCTAGGATTTGTGAGTCATGAGTGGTTCACGGTGAACGACTAGCTTCTGGTTGCAATACATCCAAACATTCGCGGATCCACGTTCTTCTTCGGCTAATGTTTCTATGGCAGAAGTTACACACGTACTGGAAAACCGTTGCCCACCTGCGTGGGGAACGCATGTCCTCAGCGTTCTGCGGGATGTGAGGACCGGGATTCAACTGTTGTGGTGAATTGGTGACACGGGCCCGCGACCCAGGTCAGGCGAACTGCCTCCGGGCCAGGTATGAGCACACGCCGGAATTGATTCGTCGATCCTCAAATAGTGAAATATCCGACTCGTATTTTCACAGGACTGCGATCAGCTATCTGGCGGGTTGGCATCAATTGAACACCCAACTTTCGGCTACGCTTATGTGAACTGCGGACCTCAAGTTCAAGAGGAGATCGCCGCGTTGCTGGCTGTCGCGAGGTATCCACATGCAAACCTCGCGTTTACGCCGTGGGGCATCCGTTAGTATTGCGCACGCTCAACTTCACTATCCGAGTCAAACCTTGTGATGTATGCAGCAGTTCGGTGTGTGCCATTTTGCGTAGTTGCTTCCATTGTTCTACTTCGCCACGCCCTTCCAGTACTCCAACGGCATGCTTTCATTTGGCCCCTTGATAAGAGCGGCATGACCTACTTGTCGTGCTTTTCCGCCACTGTCCCCTCGTATTCGTTGCATCCCAACCTACCCGTTGAGCGGGCTTTCTTCCGCCTTTCTTTTCTTGAGCAGCTAGACTATTGACGTTCCAACGATGATTACCTTCAATATCGCATCTTTCTTATTTTTTCTATTTCCCGTTTCTGTGTTGGCACATGGTTTCGTCGGGTCCGTCACTATCGACGGGACGACTTACCAAGGCAACATCCCCGGGGGTACAACGAACCCTAGTGTCATTCGACAGGTACTGATCCCTCCCTCCAAGTATCCCAAAATTGTCCTAAGGATAAGGGATCATTTCACCGGACTTGGTCACCCGATCTAACAAATGCACCTTCGTCAGGTTTCGACTATCGATCCTGTTAAGGGTGCTACTAATCCGTCATTGAATTGCGGAATGAACGCCACAGAGGCTTCAGACGTCGCCAATGCTAACCCCAGTAGCCAAATTCTCATTTATTGGGTCGGCGGCTCTACTGGTGATTCAAATGTGCGTCAGAAAACCGACTTTGTGTCCACTCCTGCAAATAATGCCTTCACGTAGTGGCCACACAACGTCGGACCTATCATCCATTACATGACCAAGTGTAGTGGCTCCTGTTCGTCTTATGATTCCACGAATGCCGAGTGGTTCAAGATCTCCGAGCTTGGACTCGAAACGAGCGACACTTGGTATCAAGCTAACCTGGGTTTGTAACATTCCTGTTCTTGCTGTCGATCGAGCCTCATCTGTCTCCTTCACTGACTCCCAGACGTTAAGGAGCCTGCAAATGTTACCATACCTTCCAACATACAACCTGGGGATTACTTACTACGCTCCGAAATCATCTCCCTTCAACTTGCGGTATCTGTCGGCGGTGCCGAGTTCTACCCCGCCTGTATCCAGTTGAGCATCGGAGGTTCAGGCACTGGTGCCCCGCAAAGCAGCGAGGTGTGTCGATTCCCAGGCTGCTACACCGATACGGAAGCCGGAATATACACACCCAATGTCAGTATCACTACCCAAATTCTACACGCGTGTACTGATGGAAACACAGATTTACAACCCTCCGATCAACTACACCTTCCCCGGTCCTCCTGTTGCCGCCTTTGTAAATGCAAGTTCTGGCTCTGGCTCTAGTTCCGGCTCTGGGACACCAAGTGCCGCAGCCACCACCTCACCGACACCTTCAGCGGGTACGTGCTTTTCCTTATTTCAGCCAGCTCTTGTGTTCCCCACTGCTCCTGTATACCTTCCCTCATGCGACCTAATAGTACTCACTAACACATCTTCCGTATATGCGCCGTCCTCCACTCCTCCCTCGTCCATCTTCAATGCGGCACCAACTTTCTCATCTTCGTCTCCATCCACAGGAAGCCAGACATGTAAGCTGGTTTCTCGCTCTAACCCTACAGGAATAGTGGTGAAACGAGGTACGAATCTGAGAACGCACAAACGTAGACCTGCTAGGCGGTGGCGTTACTGAACGCTCTGGTGCCTTGTTCGCGGTACAATGATTCAGCACTGTGCTACCTTCCCGTGTCACCGGCGACTTAGGTGCAGCACAGTCTGCATATGCTGTGGCGTCAGTCCTGTGATACAGATGTCTAACCGTCATTGCTTGCTGTGCAAGCTCAGAAGGCCCTATGTGTCATGCAAAATTATCCCGCGGACAATTTCGTATACCAGCTATTCCACTCTCTCTGTCGTTAGCCAGACACACAGCCTCTCTGTGTCGTCGTCCAGAGGTCGTGGTCTTGTGCGCAGGTCGTGCCGCTCACTCCCTCGTGTTATTATGATTTATTTCACGCTGAGTCCCTCCAGCGGCAGGACAATACTGACAGTAACTCTTGACATGAGGTGACCCTACCTGTAATTCATCACCACACGTGACGTCCATCTCTATGCGGATCGGGGTAGGCATACAACAGTTAACATGAAAGCCGGAATGTTGGACAGTAAAGTGGCAAATACGTATAGCCGCAGAAGTATGCTGACCGAAGGTAGGAGGGAAGGAGTATCCGAGGAAGCATCGTGGTCCAGCTTGACCAGGATTGCAAAAGATGGCGATTATGTAAGTAAAGTGCTTATAAGACGTATGTATACAGCAATGTCTCATCAGAGCTTTCAATCGCGCCTCCGCGACGGAACGCTTCGCACATTGGGAATTTGGGGAGCCTCGACCAACGAGGAGATAGCTGTGATGCCTCGCAGAACTTCTCGAAGATATTCTGCCCCTCCGCAGCACAGATGGAGGGATTTGTGTCACCACCAAGGCCTTTAGTGAGATAGAGCTTCATCTCCAACCCCATAGTAATGGGTGTTTGCCCAGTACTTGGGTTCATTACACATTGATGGTTTCAACATTATTACACACTTGCAAGAGAATTCCAAAGTAAAATAAGAAATATTTTTATAATTCAAATTACAAACCTGTTATAAATTTTTATTCTGAGTGGACTCATAAATTTTGTCCAAAGTTTATATGCTGACATACGTCTAAGTCAGTTTATTCCGGCAAATTTGCAGGTGGCTGTGCCTACAGCCACTGCAAACTAAGTACGTTTATTCCGAAAAATTCGCAGGTGGCTGTGCCCACTGGCTCGCCGAGCATTGCCCATCAGGATTGCGTACAAGCGTACGGATCTCCGCACTAGTGGAACGGGGGCAAGGGAAGCCTGTACTGTCGTTTAGAGTAGCACTTGAGTAGCACGGAGCATAACAAAAATGCCAAATAACTTTCAACACCATGGCGGGAGATAAATACTCATAGCCTCGAAACTGATACGTCTGACAGTAAGTCGAACTAGGTTATATCAGTCTAAATCGAACAGCAAAACCTCTGCCATCCCTTGTCCTACATTCGTCACCTCGAGATCATGACTTTCATATACCAGGTATGCCCCATCGCCCTCCCTCAACTCTACCTTTGAATCTTCAGCACTTGACTTTGAACCAATGCGGATTGCGTTCCCACCGGGCTTTCCTGAGTTGTACCCTGACGTCTGAATTAGATGGATGTACCCTCTCCTCGGTTGTCCTTGTCCTTTTTCCACGTGCCCATGCACGAGGGAAACTCCTGGATCAATCAAGGAGGCATGCATCCAGAGCTCGGAACGAATGGGTGCTGGTCCTTTATCCTCGCGACTGAGAGAGACTGATGAAGAATTATCAGGTGCGACGACGGTCACGAATCGGTTGTGTTTCTCTTCATCGGGAAACTTTCTGGAAAGCAAATAGGTAAGTATAATCACCACATGAGCTATTAAGCGTATTACCTGGTGAAATATGCGGGCTTTTTGTTTCCGTCTCCCGGACGAGCCAATGCCCAGATCTGTAGGAAGTGTACCTCTTCCGAACCGTGTGCCTTCTCAGAGTGCGAGATCCCCGTTCCAGCGGAGGTTGATTGTAGTGCGCCGCGAGACAGGACTTCCGTGTTTCCCATCGAATCTTGGCTACACGAAAAGTAGTTAATATCTATTAGGTGAATGGGAAGAGATAATCACTGTTCGAGTTGTCCGCCAACGACATAAGAGAAAATCTCGAAATGCTGATGGCTGTGCGTCCCGAATCCGGTGCCGGGCGCAACACGGTCCTCGTTAATAACACGGAGAGCACCATAAGAAGCATGTCTTGGATCGTGGTAGCTGAACGATAATAAGATCATGACGCAAATCGCAAAATAGCTTATTCACTTAGCAAAAGAAAAGGTGTGGAAGGTTTTGAGCCACCCATGATCTGCGTGCCCCCTGTCTGTGCTCCAATGAGGGATTATCTGGATTGGATTGCCGGACATGGCTGGCGAAGGTCTGTGGAAAGTCGAGACTGGATGAGCTGACAAGGTGCGTTCTAGTGATGTAGCACCGCTGATTTTTCGTAGGACCTCAGAAACGGCTGTGAGTCTTCGAGACAGCTCACAAAGACGATGGAGCGAAGTGCCAGCGAGGCGAGCCTCGCTTTTGTACCCTCGCTCAAATCGCTGATGAAGCCAGCTTACTGAGGAATCAACAGGAGATTTCCGTTTTAGGTTGAGCAATACTCACGCATTCCCACGATTCGCTACCATGAGGTCATCAATTTTCATCACTCGTCCATTATGTAGACCTTTGGAGGAATGGGCATCGGTCAGCATCACGGAGCTAGAAGAACCTTATTGTATAATCTGGGATCCTGGATTGCGCTCGGAGTCCGTCAGTTAAGCTAATTTTCAGGTAGTTATTCAAGCTTCAAGCACCATGAAGTCCACCGTACGCGGGCAGCCCGTACCTTCTTTACACTTACGCCCGATGGACAGGTACGGTCATCTTATGCAGAATACACCTTCGAAAACAGAAGGGAAAGCCATCCCGTGCAAGTTGCAAACGTGGACCACCGTATCAGTGTAATCGTGCTCTCGAGAGCACCACCATCTTGCCTTGTGGCTCGCCTTCGCCAACAATTTCTTTCTCGTATAGGCTATGGTAAGCAGTAAACTCTACAGCAGGGTCCAAATCGATAGACCAGAATTGATCAACACCCACATAAGCGCTTCTTGAGATGTAGCCAAATAATAACGTTGAATCACGCGTCCGGAATTACCAAAAGTGAACCAGACAGAGCGCATGCTGTGCTCCAGTTGCCTCCCACCCACCGTGCCCAATGCCCTTTCCCTTGCGACCTGTGCAGTTCCGGCATGCCACAATGTTTGGGTCACTATAGTACTTCTAGTAGTACATGAAGTGTAGAGTCTGAGTGCAGACTTCAAAGGGTTTCAGGACCCGTAAAATAGCTACTATTAGTTGTGCACTTGTAATTCTACACTAGTGAGCATCGCAAGCGAGGTAGAGTGCGCGCCGTTGTTTGGCTGCATTCCAAGACTAAAGGAAAGCGCTTATGAGTGCGTTGGTCGATTCTGGTCTATCGACATGGAACCTGCTGTAAGTATTTCGCTTTCTCGCTCGCGCTCAGTTACCCGCACTATTTCCGGGCCGGAGGCTTCTTCTAATCACCTTTGATCGCAACGAGGACAGTCACATGCTCCTCGAACTTCCGGTTCTTTCTTTCTTTGTACTTGGGTCATCCATGATATCCAAATAAAGTCAAAGGTAGTTCCCTGCGCCCTTAGGGTGAGTTTAAAGCTGTGATTTAATGGTGCAGAAACAGATAACTTAGACTTGGAATCGCCACTGATCTTTTCTAGGCAGACAGCCCCCTAACTTGTACAGTTCACCGTTGGCAAATAATTCCGTTCCGGCGTCAAACTGGTACCACCCGCCGCACTACGAACGACAGAAGGGTTCTCATTCGATCAGTCACGCGCTAAGGAGGTACTTCCATTCCTATCTTATCAATACATATCATGCGTTCAAAAGACTGTCGTTCTTGCATCTTTCTTCCTCCAGCAGGTTCACTAAAGGTGTCCCTGGAGACCTGATGTCTCTGCTCTCCAGACTCGCTTTTCTGTGCTTCATAGCTATCGCAAGTGTTGCTGTAGGCGCAGACGTTCGTTCTGCATATACTGCCCCTGGAACGTTTCCTACTTCCGTCTATGAGTCGTACTGGAACGACCCTACTGCTACGTCTGCTCAACCACAACCTGTTATCTCTGATCCGGCTACGGTAAGCCTATCAGTGTCCCCCTGTAACTAGTTAGGTTTGATGTTTGATATGTCACATTACTTAGCATTCAGACTTCCCGGAGATGCTGACCGATCCGGCAAACTTCCCAAAAGTACCCGGACGATACTCTTCATTTGACCATTCTTATCATGCTATTAACAGAACGATACAGTTGACCCTCATCCGCTACCGACACCTTTGCAGCCGACTCAGCTGCTTCAGCAAGCAATTGGGCAAATCAAGTCCGTCGCATCTAACTCCGTGCTCGACACTTGTGCGAAATGTCAATCTTCTTTCGCAATTGCCAAGATGCTCGTTCTTGCGGCCCCCGAACAAGGCCCGTTGCTCGCAGAGGCTATTTGCATATACTTTAATTTCTCTTCGACTTGTTACAATGAGTATAGCGAGCTTGCCCTTGGATCTGTTTTTACACAAGTGGTGGCTCTTGGTGACATGAGCGGGTACGACGGACAGGTGAAGTCAATATTTCGTTCATTTTGGACAGCGCTAATAACCTATGGGTAGCTCATTTGTTCGCGCCTTCTGAACTTATGTCCCGTCCCACCAACCGTGCCTTTGAACATGACAGGTTGGTTTGCGAAGCCAAAACCTAACCCTTTGCCTCCTCCAAAACAGCCGAGTGGTGAACGCTTAAAGGTTCTCCACGTCAGCGACATCCACATCGACCCTCGTGTGTAATTTTGTGCATTCTCCGTTATCCTACCAGTTCATTGCCGTCCAGGATATGCCACTGGATACGAGGCGAACTGTACGGCATACCTCTGCTGTCGTGAAAACGTGTGGAATGCTGCTTCGCCTGGTCGTGTCGTTCTTCCTGCCCCTCGATATGGGTCATATCTTTGGTGTGTTTTACTAATCCGTTCGAAAGCTGATTACAGTGAAGTAATCTCACACCAGCGACACGCCGATGTCTCTGATGCTCTCCGCAATGGAGGCTATTCCTGTACTAACAGAGACAGAAGTCACTGGATTCAATTTCTCTCTATTTACAGGTGACTTGACGGCACATGACCCCGATAACCAATATTCTAGGTATGTCTTTTCGGTGACACGACATTTAGCGACAGCCTGATACGAGAAATTAGGGCTTTCGTCGAGCAGGCTCAGGTAAGCGATGGAGATGGCGTTCATCCTTAGAGGCGCTGAGATGGTTGCTAGGTGGTCGTGTATGATTTATTGAGGAAATATGTTGGACCTGCTCCCGTGTACGCTACTCTGGGAAACCACGATACATATGTAGGTTCTTGCCGCTTAGTCCCTCTATGCAAGTTTCTTGACATACTTTTCTTGTATGCAGACGCAGTTCCAAATGATTCCATACTACCTCGGTGGACCTCTGGGGAAACAATTCAACTGGTACGAAGGAAACCTTGTAGTGTATACATTGCCAGCTAACATCGTTTATAGGCTCTATGAACATGTGTCGTCGCTGTGGTACCACAATGGATGGCTTCCGATGAATTCCGTGGAGTATGCACGAACCCACTATGCGGCTTACAGCGTCAAGCGGCCAGATGGACTGCGTATCATCTCGCTTGATACGGATATGTGTATGACTTCGTCATTGTGAGATACTGTTGATGTTCTGCTGATTGACTACTCGCGCGGTCCATGTACCAGGGTACCAGTATGTGTGTTTCCCTCAACTTTTTCATGATGTTCATTTCCGTTTGGTGGTTGGTCGTATCTCCAGATTGAATTACTTTAGTTATGTGGACGCGACAACTCCTGACCCGTTTGGAATTCTACGCTGGTTAACTGACGAACTACAGGATGCAGAGGATACCGGCGGACGAGGTGAGCTTTTTGTGCGCTAGCCCAGGACTTCTTGGGACCGTTGGCCTATTTTTATCAAACAGTGTGGATCATCGGCCACGTCATCAGCGGATGGGACGGTACGCAGTCACAGCTCAATCCGACGAATTTGTGTAGGTGTCTTTCACTGCTAGGCTTTGCTCCTGATGACATGATTCGGTTGGCTAGTCTATCAGATGTGAATGGCTCCCGTTCTTGACCTTATGCCCCTCGACTGAATAGTTCATCAGCGTGGACCGATTTTCTCCACACGTCATTGCAAGTGAGTGTTTCGTTGATCCTATAACTTCCATGTGTTGATCTGCATTAGATATCTTCTATGGTCACAACCATGAAGATCAATTCTCCGTAAGTACGAGAGCTAATGATCAACCGAGGCGAAATTTTTCAATCGTCGGTCGATGTCAATATTACATATAAGGTTTTTTATGCAAACAATGCGACGGTTATAAACACGGAAACTGCTCTGGCTGTGTCATGGGTACGCCTCTTGTAGTGTTAACCTACTTCAGGACATCTCCGATCTAATCATTCGTCGACACCCATATGCCTGAATAGATATCGCCTTCACTCACACCGCTTACTAACCTCAACTCCGGCTTTCGAATGTACGAAGTAGACTCGGCAGTATGTTATCCTTTGAACCTTTGTTAATGTACTTGTAACAAATGCTCCTTATAGACATTCGAAGTTTTAGATGCCTACACGTGCGTCTGTCTCTTGTTTGAAGCTGATCTTAGTCAACTCGGTTGCAGTTGGATCAGTCGCGTAGACGAGTTCCCATCCCTTGATAACCAGACGGACATCGGACCTACGTATTTCCTTGAATATAGTGCCCGTGAAGCATATGGAGGGAACATTCCGTGGGGCACGAACGACCCACTGAACGCCACGTGGTGGCATCTCGTGACTGAGCGTACGTATTCGTCCGTCTCCGTCGTACTGGGGTCTAATACGTTCTGATCCTGTAGAGATGGAAACAAACACAACACTTGGCCAGGTGCGACCGATGACTCCATAAGATGCTTTTTTCTGTCAGACCATTAACAATTGCCCCTGTTACCATAGACGTTCCGGAAATACCAATCCAAGAGTTCCGTTCGAGCTATACCCTGCAATGAGACATGTCTCACTGCGAGTATATGTTACATGCGTAGTGGATCTGCGAGTCTTGCGTATGAGAACTGTCCTCGGGGATACGGATCTACCTAGTTGCTCTTCCGGTATAGGTTGGTGCCTGTATTGTAGAATAGCATTTTACAAAACATTGACGAGAGTCGAGAGAGTGACCAGCGTTCCAGGCTGAATGCCGCTAGGCACTTCAGCGCACGTCTCCCACCCTGAGCCTTCCCTCCCTATCATGCTTGCGGTTCCGGGTGTCTACTAAGTTCTTTCTACGAGCTCCACTCCAAACCTTCATGCCTCAGTGGATACGGAAAGAAAGCAATTACTAATATGCCTTAGGTCCTGGTCGTCAACCTACCACTTATTCTTATCACAGTCGCCCAAACACGCTACACACATTACGGCCTGCCTGCAGAGAGGAAACAATATAATAACACGTATACTCTCATAACCCACTGCTTAGGGGGAATAAAACGAATTTTCTCGCCTTGTTGTGCAGTCTGGCCACTTTGCTGAGGTGGATGAGTATCAACCCGACTGATATCGATGTGGACTCTGCAAGTGGGGTCCAACGCCACGCACTAGGCTCAGCGAAGAAAAAAGTTCCCATAATGGCCAAAGCCTGTGGAAGTTGGATCGTGCTGTGCACTTCAGCGCACGCTCGCACCTTGCTTTCGCGGTTCCTCGTCGTTCCCACCAGGCCGGGATGTTCGGAAACCGTGCACAAAAACGCAGGTCGGAGCAAAAGAAATGGGTTAGATGTGCAAAATAAGCTCGCATACGTATTTCGGGTATCATTCAGACGCTGAGGTACCCTTGGCGCGGGAGCATTCCAGGGGCAGCTGACCAGGAATTGTACCGCAATGATTCCATTCCCGGAAAAACCAGTGGTTTGAATTCCAGCAACTTTGTTTATTACCCTACTCTTCTACGCGGCCAGATGAACAATTCTCATACAGTGAATATTGACGCGGGAGACACGAATTTTGAAACGTGCTTACGTGCGAATCAAACCTGAAAGTCAGTCTAGGACGGTTTCTCTTCTGTCGGCCTACTCCGCTTGGGGACATCCCTTTCCTACGCCATTGTTTCGGGCATCAAATAACTTGGTGCGAGTTTGAGTGAGAGGTTCCTAAATGTGGGAACCCCTGACCAGTTCTCATCGGGAGGAGGGACATTGGTTACCTGAAAAAGAATGGCAAACAGACCAACTACTTGCTGCGTGCACCAATCGCTGAAGAGGGACCGGGTAGCCTTGTTCGTAACGCTCTTATGGAATGACCAACGTATGTCAGTGCATGCGTTCGCCAGATGGAAGAAGTATACATACCAACCCGGAAAACCATGCCCGAAACACAGCGATCGACAACGTACAAGGCGCTGATGCCTGTCTTGTGTGAAAGCAAGAGGTATGACCAAGCTCACGCCACGCAGGGGCAAACGATTCCATGGTGAGAACAAAATGATCCTTGCGCGTCTCAAATGAGGAATTGTTAAACCCATGAATAGTGTGGTCTTGTCCGCGATCGGAATAGACAGAACCATAGTTTGCCTGTGCACATGGGCGTGGAACCTACACACATGAAGGAGCGCTCGTTTCGTCATTGCATGGTCACAACTAAGATACGGAGCACGGGGTTGCTCCAATGCAAAGCAACACGGCGCAGTCACAGGGTTCGAGACGGGAAAGTGCAACACCTCCGCATGAGGTTTTAGGCTGGATTTTTTGGGTACAGAGTCCAGCTGCGTATCTGGCCGTTCCACAGGCGTGTAGTCAGTGAGACCACCCGATAGTTTGCTTGCTAGTTTAATGATAACTTACAGTAATCCTAAGCAGTATGCTCTAGTAGGAGAGAAGTTGAGAGCTTACATAAGCGAAGGTTTTGGTTTGCCTTCTCGCTGTGCACAACGTTGCCCAAGCACGGCTGACTTACGTCGTACGTGGTACGTTGACAGAGCTACGATGCCTATCAAGCATTTGGACAGTAAGGACTGATCTTTTTACCTGCTATTCAAACGCAATATGGAGTTACCAAGCCTGACTTTGTGCATCGTCTTCACATTCAGATTACCTGACCGAGCGGAAGCACTTGCAAACACTTTCCCTCAATGCCTTAGCGGACACGCGCCTAGGAATCGATGCGCACTATTATTTGAAACAACTCGCTGAAAATCCGCCCTCTCGCGAACCACTGCTTGCCGCGACAGGTGGTCTCCCGCTGGCGCTAACGACCCGTATCGAAACCGATCTCCGCACCCTCGAAAAACTTCGCATTAAACCCGTCTTCGTCTTCCCTGGCCTTCTCCCTGCAAAACGCTGGAGGCAGCAGCATCATGTTGATTGGGAGGAGGCATGTAAAGCAAGGAGAGATGCCTGGTCCAAGTATGAAGCCGGTCAGGAGGAAGCAGCTAGTAAACTCTTCGAGGGACGTAGTGGACTTCAACCATGGGATCTGTGGCGCATGGTCCTCAGAATCTTTAGGCATCGCAATGTCGAGTTTCTCGTCGCACCCTATGTGGGCTGGGCTCAGGTGGGATTTCTCTATCTTTCCGGTTAACTTCTGGCCGAGCTGACGCTCTCTTGAAGCTCATTTATCTCCAAAGGCATCCAAAATCCTACATCCATGCCATTTTCGGACCCACAGATACGCTTCTCTACCCTAGCGTCGACAAGTTGATCACCTCTCTTGATCTAACTGCTGCAGCGCCTACGTTCACTTTCGCGTCAAAACGTTCCATCTTAAATGACCTTGGGGTGACCGAGGATCAATTTCTCGACATAGGTATCCTAGTTGGATTTGAGTATGCAGCTCCTTTTCCTCCCAGCATGCACGAACAGGGGTTCAGAGCTACCGTCGACATGGTGAAACACTGGAAATCAGGTTTCGCAGCGGTGACCGCCTACACCGAGCATCCCAGCATGAAGCCCGTGCAGTACCCGGACCAATACGCGCGTACGCGTTCGATGATCAAATATTCCCTCGTATTATCCTCCGAAGGGACGGTCGTCCCGCTTCCTCTCGCTATCACCAACAATCCACCCTCCCTCGGCCCCAACCATCATCCACATCACCCAACTGCGGCAGATATACCTGCGGACCTTCACGAGATATTCACCAACCGTCTTCCGGACGAGGTCTACTTTTACCTCTCACGCGGACTCATGGGACCTCAGGCGCTCGTTTGGCTTACTAGCGGACAGATTGTAGAACCGCCTCCACTAGACAACGGGGAAACGACCGAATATAGGCGCTTCGTGAAAGAGGTTATCACAGACGGTCAGACGGGTCCACGAGCGACGGCGCTCGCACTGATAAGCAGTGTCTCTCATACTTTCTGGACCAGTCGCAAAGTGTCGGGAAACTTTTGGTTTGAAGTACCTCATACTGCGAAAGCTATCCAGCTTAGTTCGCCGCAGACCGTGCAACTTGCCGAAAGAGTCTCCGGATGGAACGTGGGTTACGCGATCGTAGAAGAGGAGCTTAGACGACAGAACGTAAAGTGTTCTTTCCCTGGTGGATGGGTGCACCGGTGTGGCTAACCCCCCAAGGTATCTTTAGTCTTCTACGATTGACTTTGCCCTGTGTTTGGGTGCGACAGCAACGGAAAAACTGGCGGCACGGACCAAGGGAAAGTCCCTTTCCAGCGGACAGTTGGATAAAAAAGATGAGTTGGTGGCCAACGTAATATGGCGATTCCTTGAACTGAGAGGGTAAGTCATATTATGGTTTTCGGTGACAGTTTTTTAAAATCCGTGGCATGGGGAACAGGTTCCTCCTCAATTCTCACCTGCACTCACCCTTGGCAAGAGCCATGTACACAGCAATCAAACACGCACGGCTGAATGACAAGTTCCAAGAGCCACTCTACTTATTCTTGGAACTTGTGAGGGCAGGGGTAATGCACGGCCACTTATGGTCGGGCCGAGCATTCAGTGGTGGGCCGAGTTTCGGTACCGGTATGTCGTCTTCTCATAGGGACTTATTGGTGGGTGAGCTTATATCCCCGGCTTCAGATGATGAGAAATCATGTATGTTGTTGGTCATGAGAGTGCTAAGTATTGTGCCTTTGAACTTCAAGGTAAACGTCGTCAAATCACCCGATATATTCGGTTGTTTTTTCCTCGGTGACTGACAGGTGATGTGTACCCCAGCCCCAACCTTGGTCCGCCCCGTTATCACGCGAACTACTCGTCTTCAACTCCTTCGTGCGATCCCTGATACGTGCACTGCGTACACTGCTGGAAATGACGACGTTGAACATGTTGTTACGCCAAGAAGCGCGCAAGGCAAGGGACGATTTGTTGGACATTGCGATATCGCTTCCTTTCCAGAATGAAGTGAACACGGGCTTTGGGGTGCTCGCCAAGGTATACTTGGATGCTCTGACACATTTGAATAACCAGACGCGGGTACAAGATCCCATGGCAGAGGGAGTACAAGAGTATAAGCAAGTGGCATTGGATATCTGTGAAGACACGTTTCCGGGCGTGAAGTCGCCTAAATCGGAAGTGGAACGAGGATTCCGGTTCTGGGATGTGGTAAGTTTGTTTCGTTTCGTTCTTCGGCGCGTGTGGGTGTAGCCATTGGGTCGGGATATGGATCGTCGCGTTTGAAAGGAGGCTGACATGCGGTTTCCGTTGGTAGGCATTGACTGCCATGAGGCAACTTCACTCTGAGGGTGCAGTTCTTCGGGAATTGATTGACCAGTTTGAGGCAGCGGAGGCATGGCTTGCGCCTATGCGACCTTGAACCGGGACTTGTGTACGGACGGAGGTGTTGATCTCACGAGATGGATGATGGGTGTGCTGTACAGTACTAGTACCAGTGCAGTCCACGTGATGAGCGGACGAAACGTCAGAACAGAATATGTGGTGGGAAAAAAAACGATGGTGGTGTTTGGGAACAAAAACACTAAATTGGGTATATGAGGAGGATACTAAATTTGGCATTCGAAATCGATACAATCACGTGACTATGCCCATTGGGCGAGCGATCTGAGATCTGGGAGAGCTCTTGATTTAGCATCCCGGCAAGATCTTTTTTTTTTTTTCTCCCTCCTTCCCAACAAATCCGAGAATGGACATGAAAAGTGCTCGCGTGGCTTTGTGGTTTCTTAAATTTGAGCCCCCGGGTGTTCACCCCTCCTTGTCCCCCCAATCCCATCCATAATGTTGGACGTAAGCCAGCCTCGAATGCTGCACCCCTCCTCGTCCCCCTCCTCACTAGGGCCATCCCCTCTGCACGACATGCTTGCTCTGGACTCAAAGGTCCCTTCTGGTCACCTCTACGTGCGTGAACCCCACGCCATCCAGATCATACAACTCGTCGAAGCCTCCCCGCCGCCCCCTCATAATATCTCCTCCGTGATCCAGTCTACTCCGGCTGGTTCGTCATATCCGTCCACTTCTGAGTCCGAGGAAGAGGAATGCTCGTCCTATTGCTCCTCGGTCGTCACCCCAGACGACTCTTCCCAAGACCGTGAACCGGTCCCATGGACGGATGACACCCACAATGTTCGTATGAAACGGGTGCATCTTTGGAGAGACAGCGTGACGGGTGCCTTTATATTTCCTCCATGCACTCGTCCGAGGTTTCTGACACCGCTTGTGCTTTTAGACGCATCATCATCCTGCTCATCGCCTTTGAAACGCAAGCTGAACTTGCATCACACTGATGATGATAATGTGAGTCGTTGCAGCGGCCCCCTGATGCCCGCCCAGAGGTGATTGATCGGTGCGCCTACTACCACAGTCGTCCCGCTATCCTTCAAAACGGCCGCATACGACCTCCAGGTCAAGTGGATATATATGTCCTGCTTGTGATGTTCCATTTCCTTCACAACCAAGTTTACACCTACACGCTTGCATGCCGCTCGCGTCCGAGGCATGCCGCGCAGCGGTCAACTATCATTTCGAGTGACCGTTCCAATTTCCATTTCATCCTATCATTCTACCCTACCCTACCGTCTTCGCTCTTCGATTTCTCCCGTCATGGTCATTCCGAACAATGATCCCTTGTCACCCGCATTCTGTGCATCATAATGGCCCGGCTGCATGTTTGTATGATATGATTTATTATTCTATTGTTTTAGCTTCTCTAGACCTACTGTTCTACCCACTTACTCTACATACCGTCGCGCGATTCGAACGGGAGTCCGACGTTAGGGTGTATTACTTATCTGAGCACCTAGTGTGCTTCTTATATTAATTATACCATATTAATACACCTATTACATTTTCTCTCGAGTCCCTCCCCCCCGGGCCCTTGAAGGGTAGGGTCGCAATATTCCCGACAACCTACGAGGAAGTCGATCCCACGGGAAGTACTCAGGGACTCTTCGATCGGCTGTTGTCATTTTCGTCGACCCATTCGTTCAAATATGCAACAGTTGACTTCCTCTCGAACGCGAAGTCATTATCAGACGACGTGCCTAACATTTGTCTTCTAGTGTACAAACTGCTTGCAGACAGTGGCAGACCTCAAAATATGTCATACATGGAGGGCCCGAGTGAAACAGCAAGTCAAAGATAGAGGTGCCCACATCGTGTCATGTGGGACGTCCACGTCAACCTATCCATCCAAACGCAACATCAGAGCCAGACAATCGTGGTGCAAAATACACATCTATGGTCGGTCCCATGTTGAGAAACTAACTATGTAATATGTTCACGGAGGGGTACGCAGATGTGGAGCAAAACATCAGAGGTTTTGCCCCTGTGAGGAAATATGTACCTTCACTATGGACGATCATGCATCATGCACATACGGAATTATTTGTGGTATCACGACCGTATAAAGTATGTTCATACCGTACCGTATCATATCCTCGTTTTCATTTATCCGCGTACACATATGTATCCACATGTATTCGCATACCAACGGCCATGAAGTGCTGTATCATTAATTGAATACCCCGAATCACCTGTGGACACTTGCGGCGCGTAAGAGTTAAGTTGCTGGACAGATCGCGACCAACGATCGAATTGATCGATCTTAGATGGCCTCATTCGCAGTACATACCTACCTCTGAATGATAAACAGGGCCCGATTTTGTCTGACGTTCCATTAAGTCGATACTATTGAGTAGAAAGTGTCTTCCCCACTGCAAATTTCTACGCGCAAGGTAGTATGTGCGTATACGGGCGTAAAGTCATGTATCATATCTGATAACCCCGCTTGCTCCCGCCAGGGCCTCTTCCTGTCTGATGCGTCGCTTACCACCACCATTTCACCCAAATACAGACACTGATCACGATTATCTGAAAAGCAGGGTACTCCCTAGGAAAAGGGGCTAATGGGGAGGGACTAAAGGTGGTCGATCAGCCCTGTAAATCCGCGTAGAGGTGTATGTGTATCTGAATGTCATTGTTACGGTAATATTCTCCCTACGTGGACAAGGACGGAGGGGATGTCACTCGAGTTGCTGTAACTAGAGTGGGTCCAGCTCCCGTCAAAGCCCAATCTTTCATGATCAGGATTTGATCAGGACCGACCCTCGACTCTAGTCAGGTCTGCACCAAACCCCGAAGCGACGCAGAAGAATAATCGATATAATAGAATCCAACGAGTTGGTATGTGGTGGAACGCTATTTTCGACTGGGAAGGCGGAAGACGAGGGATACAGTAGACATGGGGAACGTCCATGGGATTCGGAGGTCAGATATCTAATTTGTAATATCCTTATCATTTTTTTTCCCATATATAATTTTGCCATCCCTTCTAATCGAGAACATTTTGGCGCCTTGGATGCTCAGCGTTCAGGATGGATTGAAGTGACACGCAGGGACCTCTTAGTCGATAATCTAACATGTAAGACCGACGGTTGACTGGACGGCAAGAAAAGGTGGAACGATGAGATGTTTGCTTCTCAGCTGTAGCATATGCCGACTCCAGTGGGGGCTTCATTTTTTTTCCACGCAACGGAGTACTTCCGAATTGTACGCCGTTCCCAGGTGACGGGGTTCCACACATCAAAGTGCCCTCGGGCAGGCTCCGTAACAAGACCCGGCGAGGTGAACGGGTGAGTATGTACTACGTGGGGCAGGCGCTAAGATGCGATACAATAGAGCACTACTTCACGATGCATCGCACACTTCCCTGCATATCAGCGTAATCGAGAACTCACGGCGACGGCCCACGCTCTGACAGAGAGTTCTGGCATCCAGGTTTCGATGATTCGATTACCGACGGTATCGAACATTGTAGGTCTGATCACGGGGTTTGCCGATAGAGAAGCCTACGTTCCTCGTATGTTCATAAGATGTACGTACAAGTCTAACAGAAGAAGCACAGCAGACGGATATGTAGATATGTGATGGGGAAGAGAGGTGGAGTCGAACTCGAAATTATATCCTATAGCATACACGCGTATCTTGCTCGCCCTCCCTGTCATAACGAGGTACATACGGGATCCATCTATCGACGCACACGACAATCTGTGTAGGTGCTGTGACGCAAAGGACGAGAGTGTTACCTCTCCTTCCATACCTTTACAGTAAGTGGACGTCGTGGGACCATACGCGTCATACCTGTGCTTACCAGTGCCGCCAATGAGAGCCTTGTCGTATCATTCCGGACCAGTGGTCATGGGCTCCCATCAAGCGGTGTGCTCAAGCGAACGTGCACGTCCGCGGAGAACCTGGCGTGATGCTGAGTGTCACGTTGTCTCCATGTCCCCTGCTTGTACTCGCATTGTGTTCCTGCTTGATATGACCAACTAACCGTCTTTACTGCGCCTACCGGCCATGCATTGATGGAACATGACCACACACGAGGACCTGCGTGGACACGCGCACGGTAACCTAATTTCAGTGAAATGCAAATACAAGCCAACCAAAAAAAAAAAAAAAGACACGCGGTTTTAAATCTACATAAGTGACAGCGAACACACGCACCCACGAAAAATTGGACAGCACTGGTTTTTGGCGGTGATGCATGATGGTGGTATGCCATTATAAGTACATAGAGTTTGATCCAAGTCTAGTGCGAGCGATGCGCATGCGCAGGGACTGTTCGGGCCGCCCGTTGGCACCGCATTCCCCCCTATTACCCCTCACGACTTGAACGATCTCCATGATCAGGATGGCAGGAAAAGTACATAGTTCATTTTCTGCAGTCCCGTGTCCTGAGACTGTAATCTATTGTCGCCTGTGGGTTTTTCATTTTGGCGCTGCTCCTCTGTTGGCAGTCAGCCTGTGAGTGGAGTAAACTGTGACGTTCTGCGAGTGGAGGGCGGCAGTGGTTGCGGAAGAGTATTGCCTAGCGCTGCACACATTTATTTGCGACTTGCTGTGTGTGTACTATATGCACACACCTCCAGGCAGGTACATAACACCCCTGCCGAAACGCCTGACAGGCGTCCACGGCATGATTCCGATGCGGATCATAGAGATGCAGGGAGGGAGGTAGATGCGTTGACGTTCACGAGAAAAGTGCGTGTATACATAGATAGTCAAGTATCCCATTCAATGCAATCCATGGTAATAGCCAATTCATTCCTATCATGCCATTGGTCTTTACACGGACTTCATGTGTTGGATCACAACTGCATTAGTACCACTTGCCGTACCTGTGTCGTGAAGAGGGGAATCCGTCCACGTACGATAATTCTCAAACTCAAGCTCAGAAAAATTCCTTCAGCCTATCCCTTAAATCGGTTCCCTCCGCCGCCGATGGTATGGTAACAAGGACATGGCAGTAATCTCGCTGTTCAAACTTCCTTATTCGGTACTTGTGTAAGGACAGGTCCGTAATCCGTTCTGCTGGCTCGTTCCGTGGGATTCGCATCATTGCAGTGAGAAAGAAAATAGTCCAACCCTTCAAACATCACCGGCACCTTTCCACTGATGTTATTACTGCAACGACAGGATCGGTGTTGATGTCAACAAAGACACAATAGACCGAGATGCCAAGGATTCGTTCGGAAATCGGTCTTCCAGTAAAAGTTGGGAAAAAGAAAGGCTAACGCCTTCACCCCGCTCTATGAACGATTGCGCCACCGTTGGAACCGGAAACCGCAAGATGCTGGAGTACAAGCCCGCCCCTTCTCTCGGCGTCACGGAGCCCGTCCTTTCAAATCAGCATGTTCTTAACTTAGTGGTGGAGGGCTTGGAGATTGGTCGTGTGAATAGGTAAGCACCTAACCGGAAAGTTAGTTGATCACGATATGTTCGTACGGTGTATGGAGAAACTTCTAACATGGGTTTATGGACACAAACACTTCCCATCCTTTATTCATCAGCGGAGATGGAGCCCTCTATAGGCTCGCATCGGTCTGGACATCCTCGTATGCAAATTTGGGAATCGGGCCGATAGGCCGTAATCCTGGGTATCGGCGTCCTCGGGATCTCAAGGTTCTTGTCCCACGTTCGAAACAAAGGTGTTCATGTACTTACAACCTGGCTGCGCCTGTTTGACGAGTTTGGGCTCCCCAGGGCACATGATGTGACAAGTTCTCAACGTTCCCATGCTAGTTTATTTATGCCTACAGCAGTCTCCCAGCGGTTTGGTTAGCTTCGCTCGAGTTCCCAACTCCTTTTCTCGTATCTCCGCTTTTGGTTTGTCCATTCATATCCCTTGCAGTGAGTACAAAATAGCAAAGGAGGGAGTCTTCCATGATTTTGTCAATCGCCTTACTGTACCCTCATCCGCTGGAGCCATCGAGGTGGTCATCCCATTGCGGCAACGACAGGTGTGTCTCCCCCTGCTCAACGGGGCAATATGGTTGCCGAAGATACTTTGGGAGTTACTTGACCCTTGTGGACGCGAGTTGGGTTCAACATCTGCCAGATACAGCTAGTACCTGTAGGCATTGATGCGGACTGGAGGACGGAATCGCATGGCCGCTGAGAGAAAACGGCACCACCCTAAATGATTTTCCTTCGCAACCCTATTAGTTACTGATAACCCTGAACATCTGAACCTATGTGTGGGACTGGAGGGTAGAAAAATTCAGATCAGCGGCGATGTATATATAGCGAAAAACCCACCCGTCGCCGGATGAGCTTCAATATGGGGATCGCGGCGTACGCATACCTGCATGGGAGCTCCGGTGTTCCACACCCGTCGGGCTCCAATCCTGGCAACCGACCACATACTATTTCCACCGGCACGTGGCTTTGTGGGAGGGGTTCGTGCCGAACTATGACAATGACAAGCTCAGCTAGGGGCAACGGTTTCCATGCCTGTCTATGGGATGGTTGAAAGAGCTGAGAATCGTCAATGGAACGCTAGCTAGAAGGCTCGAGAGTATGTTACGACGTTGGCATGAGTGCACTTCGAATCGGGGATGGCACACAGCTGCTCCTGTGCTCGCACGGCGAGCAACCCTGAAGGCTCGAGTGTGAATGACGCACATAACGGGCTGACGTCGTGGTTCATTTTCATTAGTTCATTAGTTCAAGACGCGGCTACATGTCCGGGCACTTTTCGAAGTATCCACGTCCCTGAGCGGTCAAATTTTCAAATGCCATGAGTAGATATGTAGCGGGCTGGCACGCGTTGGGCACGCGACTGGGTGGGTGGCTCGGTATCGCACACCTGCCAACTAATACGATCAACGGTCCAAGTCTTTGCCAGATGCATCACATACGAAACCCGGCCTCTACACAACCAACGGATTAGATCATGATACTGCAGGAGTACTACCCATGTGGCGCAGCAGCGCTTCTGGAGTGTGTTTCAAGACCTCGGGTCCCATGCATCATATGCACGTTCTCAGTGAATACTACTGGTATCAGGGTCTGCGAAGTAGCAGGACTCAAATTATGTTCGAGTTCCATGGGATTTAACCACTTACGAATTTTGGACCTGTCAGTCAGGCTCTCAGGCGACCGCTGCAACGCAACATAACTGGGAGCAGCATGTTCCACCTTCGGTCATGGGATACGACCACCTACAAACGTGCGTAGAACAACATGCTGCAGTTCTTTCACACGAGCAGGTCCCGCATGTTTTTCAGGTGAGTCTACCTTGAACCAGGGTTACTTCACCCACCAGATTAAGAGGTTTGTGCGGGACAAAGTTCGTCCACCGATTTTCCAATCCCAGCTACATGCTATCACCGCTATCACCGTCTCCGCAGCGCAAGCCACAACCCCAGTCCTGTCCCTCTCTCCATTTGCCATGCCTCTATACCCGATCCGTCGAAATGTATCTGACTGTCTACACAACCGTTCACACACAAGCCGGCGCGGTGCGAACGAAGTGCGTCATATGACACGTTTCATTGCACTGATGCATATAGTATGGGATTAGGTTGTGGTTAAGAACCTGAGAATGGCCCAGACCTTCCACAAGCACGTCGGTATCGGAAAGAATGGGGAGTGGAAACGAGTGGGCCCTTATAACGGTTCATTAGTCCGTAGGTATGTGTTCAGATGATGTCTATTTGAGTGAGAAGGGCTGGCGGTAGTGGCATGGGGCCATTGTGCTCGTGTATTCTGCATGCTAGGGCCGTGCGTTCATGAGATCGAGTTCAGAGACAGCCTTTCAAGCAGGCAGAGTGCATCATCGTTCATACTGTAGGGAACCTAACTTGTCGCATCGCAGTCTCACAGAACACCACATCATACTGAATCGAATTCTAGTTACGATGTACGTATGTGTGGTTCGTCATCACTATTGTAATCGTTGGCCAGCAGCTAAGTAGGACAAGTGACTTGGTTAAAGTTCTGGAATTTTGACATACACATGCTTCCATTCCAGTGGGTTCGCAAACTTCTAGAGCCCAGCCAAGTCTCGTGTTCGTAGCTGTCACGTGTTCCCGTTCTTGGGCAAAACTCAGCCAGGGTTTCACAAAAGACCTTACATATGTCCACCGTGAGGTCAGGTGCTCTTACTCGTCTCAATGGTAAGTTGGAATGGAGAGAGCATATCTGTGGGAACTCGTACTCCTCCGAACCTTATGTTGACACGCCGAATCTAGGTCCTTTGTCCAAAAGGTTGCGGTTTGGTCCGATCTATGGTCATGGTGACCCCGTATGGCATGTGCATCAATATGTATCCATGTATGTCGCAATGTGGTCATGATCCAGGGATCCGCGCGCGATCGGAGCGACCCTGAATGCAGTGATTATATTGGAGGACATTCCTCGTGGTGGTGCAGTCGAATATGACTGGTAGGATGCAGGATTTTACGGTGTGTAGTATGTATCACCGTTGCCGTTGCCGTTGCCATATTATGTCATACCCTGTCTGGTATATATCTAAGTGGAGGCGAAGTAGAAGCGGTAAAGATGGAGATGAAAACTCATATGGACGTGCACGCTTCTTCAGCGGGAACTACTTTCATTTCGCGGTCACGAACGGCATTGAACGGAACGCCGTTGTTACGTGTTGCGTGGAGAGAAGCAAGAAGTGTAGTATGAATCCGGTCGAATCCGCATTGTGGGGTTCGCTCCCAATTTTCAAGGATTTAAGTTGGCATTGGCTCGACTGTGTCCGAATGACCCCTCGAAGTCGGGCGATACGGGCGCCCAAAAACTGCTCTTCTCAAGTGGTCATTGTGATGTTGTCCAGACGAACATACATACGTGAGCCATGGCCTTTTGGAGCTCAAGGGTCGGGTTCCGTTATGCAAGTGCAAGCGGGGCACTGAGGAGATGTGACTTCAAAATGCCATACGTCAGCCAAGAGCTAGTAAGGTTTGACGAACTGATATCAAGGTTTTGCAGTGACAAAATTGGCTCCCCAAACGGTTGGAGCGTGTCGGGCCTCCAAGCTGTAGTTAGTTACTTGGCAAGTTTCCTGAGTGATTTGAATTTCTTTAATGCGGGTGCATCTCGGACTCAATAAGAGAAACTTACCATCCACCATGCAAGATAAGAGGCATGCACCAAGCCCTGAGAGATACGAATACCGTGAAATACTGACAGGACGGAACGGATCTCGCACAGCAGAGTCTGTAGCAGCACTAGTGTGGTTCCCCGTGAAACAAACCAGTCGCAATATTAGTTCTGTGTGGCGCTTCAAGACTTGGCCTGTAATGTGAAGACCGGAAGACCAGCCTGGAGCATGGCTGGGTATATTGCAGTAGAGCTCATGGTTGGTCACAAAAGCACCCTATAGTTGGAAAACAGCCCCGCCGGTGGCTTGACTTGGAGGGAAGTCGTTCTCGTTGACTATGGCGTGGAGGATTGAGTCTGGTTTAGGACATCAGGGAATGTCCGACGTCGGCAGAGACACGGGGTGGGGCTGGCTGCGGGCCGTCTAATACTGTGACGTTCCACAAGGCCAGGATGGTCCGTCACAAACATTCACGGTCTACGGACGACGACATGGCCCTACCCATTAGCCATTCAGATTTGAGACTGCCATCGAGACCGTATCTCACCAAGCGAAGCGCTCGGGTGCTCCTCATTCTTGTCTTGGCCTCATGCGTGCTTGTTGTCTTCCGTCTTGGTCATTCAACACGCCGTAATGCATCTCAGTATTGGGGGGGAACGGAGGAAAATGGCACGGAGAACAGGTTGCCTCCACTTTACGAATCTTATCATGACTACGAGCGACACCTTCCGCAACACAACCTGTCGCTGCCGTACCCAGAGGGGAGGGACGCTAAATTTTTCTGGGCAGCCAACCATGTTCACGGTGCGTCGTTCCTCGATACCTCTCTACCTTCGTTTTTAGCATGTCTGACATGATCGTGTGATAGCGTCTGGGTGGGGCAATGCCATGCAAGAGCTACTCGTCAACGCTCTCCTATCCCACGCCGTGAACCGAGCGTATGTCTTATTCCATCGACTTGCACGTCATTCGTCCTCTCACTTGTTCCCAGTTTCGTCTTCGACAACTATACATGGGACCCGGATGGTCCAGATTATTCGGTGTTCAATGGAAAGCTGATTCCTTCACGGATACCGCATTCTGCCATCATTAGCGGTAGGGTTACAGTCAGTTCCGCGTTTTTACCACGCTTCTTACTCCGAACACAAAATATAGGTCCTATTATCGGTTCGTCCTGGCCACCTGGTGACCCGACGCCTCGTTCGGTTTCCCGAGAGTACTTTGAACGCGTGTGCCCGCATCCTCTCGTCATCGACAGCTACGAAATCAATAAAAATTTGCGTCTGGACACCAGCGTGTCGGCATCTGTCATCTTTGACACATGGGTGGACAAACTTAACTCTATTCGCGATCCTTGTGTCGAGATCAAGCGTGGTTCCTTCCAGATTTTCGAAATATGGTGCGCCGCTGTGCCTCTCTTCCCCTACTCAACAGCATACCAATGAACTGCTCAGGCAGTTTGGATCACCTCGAATCTTGCCATTGTGGCCCAGGTTATCCAAGTCACCGATCCTCCGTAACTTTTCATGGTCACCTCTCGTCCTTCAGGCATACGCCCAAAACGCACATCTCTTTGACTCGCCGTCCCGATCCCTTAGTTTTCTCCCTTCCTACCTCCGTCCTTCTAACGCTGTCTCAATTTCCCCGTCCGAACTACACAATGTCGAACCCCTCCTAACACCCGACCAAACGAACCCAGTACCTGGCCTTCTCGCCCTCCATGTCCGCAGGGGTGACTTTGCCGACCACTGTGCCCATCTTGCTAAATGGGCGGCAGACTGGAATGGCTTCAACAAGTTTGCAGCCCTACCTGACAAGTTTAGACCACCCCCTGATGGCGGGCAAGGGTATGCGACAGACGAGAATTTGCAGCTGTATATGAAGCGATGTTTTCCTTCGATCGAGCAGATTACGGATAAAGTCCGCAAGGTCCTCGAGGAGCAGTATAATTTATATGGGAACTCAAGGGAGTTGAAGAAGGTGTATGTCATGACTAACGGAGACAGGGAATGGTTGGAAGAACTCAGGGTAGCGCTCATGAAGGTGAAGCGGTGGGATGCTGTGGTGACGAGCAGGGACCTATCTTTGAGTTGGGAAGCTAAGCCGGTGGCGCAGGCTGTGGATATGTTGATCGGACAGCGGGCGCAAGTGTTCATCGGCAATGGCGTGCGTATCGTTCTCCACTGTCGTTGACAACAGATCTAACGTGTTATGTGCATGTTAGTATTCGAGCTTGACATCTAACATTGTGATGTTCAGGATGTTAAGGGAACTTCCTCCGGAAGATACGAGGCTTTGGTAGATCACCTCGCCGCGACGAGTAAGCCGTCACATACTTGAATAGTGCCTCCGAAACAACTACTCATGCTCTTGAACGTTTCCCCTTGCCGCAATTACATACCCCCGTCCCTCACAATATCCCAATATTAGTAGCGCATGCCGGGGCAGCACACGACCCACGTCTCGCTTGTTCGTTGTACGCTCGCTCATAGTATTATATAGAGTATTACTGTCGAACTGTTTGTTCGTATTTATCCACATACTCCTTGAATATGGACGATTCGACGACGGACGACGACAACGCATCACAGACGACCGAAGACGACCCGCAGATACCAGCACCACAACATCAACAGCCGGTCCAGCCGCCGACCGCCCCGTCTCAGCCACCCCCCCGCGAAAGACCCGATTATCGACTGAGACACACCCTCAGAGGACACACACAGTCCGTATCAGCAGTCAAATTCAGTCCAGATGGGAATCTTCTAGCTTCTTGTGGTGTGTAAAATATCTAGGCTTGACCCCCGCGTTGTCGCACGATCGATCTCCCCCTATATAGCTGCGGACAATGTCATCAAGTTATGGTCCCCGTTTACGGGCGAGCTCATAAGGAATCTAAGTGGACACACCAAAGGTCTGTCCGATATCGCGTGGTCGAGCGATGGACAGTACCTTGCATCTGCATCAGACGATACAAGCATACGGATATGGAACGTCGAGACAGTGCGTCATTTTCCGCTGGTTTGTTGTCGCATGCAACGGCTCACGCGATACTCAGGGGCTAACGATAAAGCAACTTCGCGGACACACGAGTTTCGTGTTTTGCGTCAACTATAATACTTCATCAACACTTCTCGTCTCCGGCGGATGTGACGGGGACGTGCGGATATGGAACGTTGCACGTGGTGAGGCAGGTTCTCCCACTGTGTCATGGAATACACCAGCCTTATCGATGTAACGAAACCAACAGGAAAATGCATCAAGACCCTCAATGCGCATCTCGACTACGTGACGGCCGTACACTTTAATCGCGATGCATCACTCATCGTGTCATGTTCCCTGGATGGGCTGATGTTTGTCTATCTGTCGTTACCCGCTTCCAGCGATATGACCTTTTCTGGTGCAGACGCATATGGAACACGACCACGGGGCAGTGTCTCAAAACACTTGCAGAGGGCCACGATGCTATTTGGCGAGTCCACATTTCCCACTCTCTCGCCTAATGAATTGACCAACGACTGGGCCATTCAGCCAACACGTCCAATTCTCTCCCAACTCTAAATACATCCTTTCAACTTCGCACGACAGTGCCATCCGTCTCTGGGACTATCACACATCTCGCTGTCTCAAAACATATGTCGGGCACCGCAACGAAAAATTCTGTATCGCTGCGTGCTTTAGCGTGACGGGCGGGAAATGGATCGTGTCCGGGAGCGAGGATGAAAGGGTGTATATTTGGGATTTGCAGAGCAGGGCGGTTGTGCAGACATTAGAAGGTCATTCTGGTGAGTCCTAGCTGTTTTCTCTTTCTTTCTGTCTCGCTTTTGGACGGGGCACTGATGATGCTATGGTGCAGGCGTCGTCGTAGCGGTAGCTGTAAGTCCTTCATATCCTAACCCTATCACCTAGATATTGAGCGTTGTGTTTGCTAGACCCACCCCCACCAAAACATGATCGCATCCGGCTCTATCGAACCTGACCTCGCTATCCGGATATGGGCGGACCGAGAACCACCTGTAGCCGCATCGTGATTGTATCGCACTTATTTGTATATTCATTCGGTCGTTTGACATGCTCGTATGGGGGATCTCGTTGACGCATCTGGATCTATGGCTATTTGAAACCATTCAAGTGTAAGTGCGCCAGGAGCACGGATACTTCTACTTGTGGACAACCATGTCCGAGATATGCCCTCTATCTCGCTCGCTCGCTGCCTTCGTTTCCGTCTCCCAATGCGTCCACAGCTTCGCAAGAAGTCTCCGGATGAAGAGCTGAGCGGGAATTTGGAAGGTAATGACGCAGAGAAGGGATTCGCGTGGTCTATGCTCTTCCTCGAGTGTAGCAACGGATCGCAGGGTGATACTCGACCGATATCGTTCATAAGTCACTGCTGAGCATATCCGTACTTTCCGTTTCGTTCTGTTGTATGTACAATGCAGCTGCAACATATTGCGAAAAGGGACTGATACTTCCGGATCGTTCTTCCCTGGACCGTGCAACCGTTGTTGTGGTATTGAACCAGAAGTCACTCGCCGTTAGGACATGCCAGATTGCGCGATAGCATAGCCCACACGTGACACATGAACTGTGGGTTCCAGATGGGTACTCAGTGAAGAGACATTGTCCTCTGTGGTGACCCATGACTCCAATAATAGTGCAGCACCAAGTCACCCAAGTCACATGATATGACCCCTGGCTATCTGCTCCTATTTTCTCATAATTTATGGATTATTACTGACTGAGTTACCAGCCAATCTTTGAAAAAGTGACAAACATCCAGACAGTTTTTATTTATTTATATGCACCCAAGTGCTGAATATCAATCCGCCCAGCGCTGTCCATTGACAGGCTAAATTGAAGGCTTCGTCCACGACGACATATGACGTGAAGAGATAGATTGATGATTGTGGTAATGTACATACATATGTGCAAAGTGAGACATCTATCCGTAGGTGGCTTACATTGGCTTGGCGTTGACGAGGTCTACGAGTTGGTTGTGGACGACGAAATGTGAGCGCACATGCAAAAAACCGAACACCAATTACAGAAGATATGGACGTACCTCTTGCAACCTGCTTATCTGCCTCCGATAATCCAGAGTCATTGGCTTCCAGGAAGGCGTCGACCTAATACGACAATGACGTGAAATGAAATAAAGTGTCGGAAACGGAGGACCCACCTCATCCATAACCTGATCATCGTCCTCATCTCCACCATGCACTTCATCCAGCTCGCTATCGTCTTCGTCATCTCCGTCTTCGTCCCCTACATCATCAATCGCGAACGGTGTTCGTTCGAGGAAGGCAGCGCTCACGGCCTGGAGGTGCGGCATAGTCGCCAGACCAGCGGATGACAGTGCTGCGGAAGGTGTCAACGCCGGTGCTAAATTATCGTCGTGAGGAAGTGGAGGTAGCGGAGGCTCGATCGTGAGTGTTGACGACGAAGTGGATGGTGCGAGTGTATAAGAGTCGCCAGATGAAGAGCCAGTTGTGGATTTGGAAGGTACGGGAGAAAGAATGGATTCGCGGGCTCGAGGTTCTTCTGCACGAGTGTAGCGACCAATCGCAGGGCGATACATAACCTATGTCGTTCACGAACCACTCGTCAGCATTCATTCCTCTCGTGCAGTGATGTGACGACAACACACAGCAAACAAGCATGACGTACCTGATGTTTCCCAATGGTTTTCCCCAGTTCATCGCTCAATTTATGGAATATCCTCTTGTTATCCGACGTCGCGATATTCGACCATAAATCGCCCAAGAGCCCGCCACTCGCGTGTGTCGGGAGCTCGAGGTCGATGACTGGCTCGAGCCGGAAGGATGCTGCAAGATCGGTTTCGAAGAAGGATTCGAGAATCTCGTCGGCAAGAACGACCATGCGGAATCTAAGGGGTTGACGTTAGTATGGTTAGTGGGTAGCGCGGGAAGTGCGAAGAAGTGTGCAGGATTGGAGCAGCGAGCGGACGCGAAACGCAGCAAAACTGAGGTGGACGTACGTAGCGAGATTCAAGTAAGGTTGATTATTGCCGATCTCTGCCGCACGCTTCCTCTCCGCCATCCCGGCCTCCTCCATTCCCAAATTCGCATAGCCTTCCCGCTCCTGTCCCCGCCTCTCCCCAAACCCGTGATCGTCCCCGGCCCCGCGCCCCTGTCCTGCATCCAACAACGCATCGCCATACTCGAATGCATTACTCATGAACCTGCTCACTGCACCAAGATAGGTATCCCCGATTTCGTGACGGAATATGAACTTAGGGGAGTCGTCAGCTGGATAAAGTGGCAGGTGGAACGATTCTCAAGAGAGTAAGGTGTGGAGGGGAGATGGAAGATGGAAGAGATGGGAGACGGAGGGATGAACTTACAAGCAACGACTCGGATAAAGTCAACACTTCGTCTTTGGTGAGATACCCATCTTTATCTTTATCATGCAAATTGAAAAACCATTCAATACTTTCCATCAGATCGTTAAACATGACACCGTCCAAGCCGGAGACAAGGTCCTATCGGGTAAAGAGGTTAGTGGGATCGCAGTTGCACGTGTCGACCATTCGGTAATCACATAGAGACCCAGAACCAGAGAGACGAAAGATGGTAGAAAGATAAACAGAAGGACACACGAACCTGGAACGACAACGATCCCCGACATGACGTATCCCAGAAGTAAAATAGCCGATCTATCAATTCGTGTTCTGCAACTTGGCGATCGATACGTTGCTGTTTTGCCACATTCCAATCGCGACGTTGGCAGCGTCACAAGTTACCGTCGCGACAGTACCATTGATACCGGCGTCCGGGTCAGAGAGAGCATAAGAATCGATGTCAGCACCGGAATTGTCAACGCCGAACTCCAAGTCATTGTCAAATATCAGAACCAGGACCAATAACCACATCATTGCCAGCAGACGCAAAAGCACCCCCATCGCAGACTACAAATGATTGATATCACGGGAAAAAAATCTCCAACGAGTGAAACAGACAACCAAAGGAGAAACAAGCACAGGATGAGAAAATAAATACGAACAAAGGACATACCTGAAACCCATTAAAAATCACCTTTTCATCTCTCGCCCACGTCGCAATTTCACCCAGGAATACTCTGAACGTCTTCAACCCGATCTTCGTCTCGACCTTTTCCTGCTGACCGTCTATCACCTGAACAAGCGTCCCTGTCGTCACCCCAGTCATCTCCCCATGATCGCCATCCTTCGACGACAAACCATAAGGACTCCCATTCGCCAGCTCCGGCGGCGGCGGCTCCTCACACATCGCCTTATACAATGCATCATAAACAAACCCCGCACGTTCCTTTCCAACTCTTCCAAAAGTCCTTAAATTCCTTACCGCCGCGCGTTTTGCAAAGCTCTCGATCGTATTCACCACTTCGTTCCTAAGTTTACGGCGTTCGGCAAGAATAACTTCAGACGTGATGGATGAAAATTCGCGGAAGGAGATCAAGAGGAGGTGTTGGAAGCACGTTATGGCGCGTGTACGGGGGGAAGGTGAGGTCGGATGTGCGGAGTCGTCGAGGGTAGAGAAATATTCGCGCATGAGGCTACATATGAGCGTATGTCATGAGCAGGCGAGTAGGCAAGGGTGCAATATTGTCACGGATTAAGATGTTTGTTGGGAAGGATTAGGGTGAAGTGGAATGAATAATTGGCATCAGATCAACGTCGCTCGAGTACAACAGAAGCGTATGTGGTAGCTGAAAAACTCACCTCAAGAACCCACCATCATCCTGTACCAGCAACAACTTTTCCGCATTAATCTTCAGGATGGCTAGATCGCGTCAAACATCAACATTTCCATACATCCATGGAGATAGAAGAACACGAAGAGTAGCTCACCTAGTCTAGTCACACATACACGTGTCAGTAAACGACAAGATCGTTGACAGTGATTTAGTTGCGACGCACCCTACTTGAAAAAGCACCTTTGAACCCATACAGAAAAAACAATCGACGATCCGGAAGGCAAATATCATGGGCATCGAGTTGATATACCTTTGTTTTATTCCACTCGGTCAGCTCATCCCGTAACAGATCGCAAAACTCAAATAATGAAGGCGAATGATAAACGCGCAGAGAGGAATGGAACTGAGGATAAGGAAGGAAGGGGACGCACAAACTCAAAAACCAAGGCAGGGAGGCCACAGAGAGTTGGACGTCCACGGATTGGAAATGGTCACGAATATCTGGTAGGTGACGCGCAACGAGCGATTCGAAAACACGTTGATCAAGAAGGGTGCCGTGCATTGTAGGGCTGTCCGAAGCGATCGTGGCGGTGTTGAAGATTCATGAGATCAAGGTGACCGGGTGGAAAGAGGGACGGAAAACATACCTGTAATACCCTGGGAGGAGACGGTCACAAAGTACTTCTAATAACCAAAACACTTGCTCTTCGGACATGTATCTGTGTTCGTCGTGGAGTCAGTCAGAGACACGAATTCGTTGGATTTGGTACGACGTGGTGCAAGATGAAAATAGGAAGGACCTACATTAGGATAGCAGCTGCAAGGATGTTCATCGCCTGCGACGGTGTGTTCGTGTTCAGCGAAAAAAAGTGACAACAGGCAAGGGGCACGCGAGAATGCAGAAACCCATACCTGACAATACCCAACGTGGGGATTCTTATACGAATACGCCTGCAACACCCTGCGCAAGGCATCAATTCCTTCTTCAGACTGGTATCCGGCATATTCGGGAAGACTCCGATGCAAATCTTTCTCGATGTCCTCGAAACTGGTACTCGTCTTGCCGAGGAGTGTGCCAGTCTTCTCCCGAATCTGACGGACGACGTCGTCATAGACGCCCGGGTTGTTATAGCGAAGGTAGAGTGAGCCAGAAAGAGTGTCCCACATTTCTCCGCGTAACCTGTTGGGAAGGCCGACTTGGACGAGACGCGTGCATTGGGGGTATCGAAGAAGGGTGAGGTTCCTGCCGTGAGCTAATGACGATCAGGACGGACGTGCATATGTGATCAAGAAAATAAGGATTGATGATGGATCGAACACGTTACTTACTCTTCAGATACGTTGTCCAGAGCTTGATCTTCGAAGCTTCTCGTAATCTGGAAACGGCGGTGATATCTAATCGGATAGTCCACACAAGACGAGGGACTCACTTCCTTGGGTCGCCTGGGAATTTGAACTTGAGACCTAACCCACCAAGATATTCTGGTTCCGAAGCTTCCTGTCCTTCCTTTGTTTCCGGGACCAATTCCCCATCCTCACGTTCAGTGGCGGGGCTGCTATCTGCAATAGTAACAGAGGAGGACGAAGAAGAGGAAGAAAGAAGATGTTCAGAGTAGCATGTCTTGACGAAGCCTTTGACAACTTTCATTTGACCGCGCTGGAGTTCGACTTTGAGCGCGTCCCTCAAGAGGACGCAAAATGCGTCTGCGGTGGGACGTAAGGAAGTCAACTGAACGATCTATATGCCCACGAGAGCCATCACACGAAAGACTCGGTCAGCTGCCTCTGTACAGTTACGGGGCAAGATAGCGAGTGGAACGTACGATCTTTGACGAGTGCCAGGTGATCAAGCTAAGCGCGTATACACCCGCACGAGCATTGAGACGTTCGACGCGTCGCACCGTCGACAGGGGCATGGTAAACCGAACTGATTTGCGGTCTAGCGAGATGAAAGAGAGATAGGGTGGTATGAGGTAGAGTTTGCCTGCCTGCGAGCGTGCCATTAGATTTCGGGATTGACGTCCCAGAGGAAGACATTGATAATGATGACTATGACCACACGACACGAAGAATGTGAATGGCAACTCACGTAGGCATCTTCTATGCCCTGCTCTCCCAGAGTTAGCACAGCACTGATCTCCATCTTGTCGATGTCGGCGGGTGGATCGTGTTTCTCGTTGCTCCCATCCTTCGTACGCCATTCATGCGACGACGGCGACGGAGCATCTGGGATCGAGAAAAAGGCATAGAGGAGCTGGTCCTTGGTAGGCTCCTTGAAATTACGGATTTGTGTCGATATGGTCGACATGTTGGTCAGAGCTCAACGCTACAACGGAGTATCTCAGGCTGTGTCGAGCCAAATCCAGCGTTGTTGACGATGAAGTGAACTGCTCAGGTTCAGGGTCGCTAGTCGTTTCAATTCAGTCGGGCGCTGACGTGCGACGAGTCGGTAAAGCATCCTTATAACACTTGACTCCTACAAGAACTATTCCACAAACCCATCTCACCAGAAACGATGATCCTCCAGACTAATACCACTTGAATATTCATTAAATCCACCTAGCATATCCAAACGTCAGCGGATAAATCCTCTATCGACTAAATGCCATCCCAAAGACATCCTAACCAGCAAACCCTATGAATGCCGTCTATTGCTACCAAAACCGCATCGAGTCAGTGGGGAATCCGTTTGTCATTCGAAGCATTACTGCGTTGGAGGTTAGGCTCGACCACTTGAAAGAGAATCAAGATTGGAGATCAGCCCGACGACGATGCGAATCGAAGATAGACTCACCCCATTTCCAATGATCACTTCCGCCCTCTGAGCAACGAACATATCAATACCCTGCGACACGAACGTTTCCGCCCACGTCAGCTCCAAATCTTTACTACTCCTGACGCTCTTCCATTTCTGTCGATGTTTCTCTGCATCCTCAGCAAGCGCACTCTTGAGCTCTTCTACCCACGAGACCGGAGCATTCGTCATGATATATAAGTAGTTGAGATTGTGTTTCGATCGTGACTCTTGACGTACACGACGGACTCGATCCACAATTTGCTGGATATCAGGGTAACAATGTTCGATATACGTATTCAGGACTTCATCCGGAGTGGCGTCTCTCGGTTTCTCGAACTTGTCGATAAACTCAGGAAACGAATTCCAGGCGTGCCAATCTGCATCCCACTTAGCGAGATTCCGGCAATGTCCTTCGAAATCCCCTCTCCGAACGTGGATAGCCATCAACCCCTCGATGACGCTACTTGGGGTATCTGATCCGGATAATCCCAAGTTGTCTAGGAGAGTGACAAAACGAGAAGATGGGTGGGGAAAACGTTTGAAGAGATGCCGGTTGCGTTTGTATGCCGCGTGGACGAGAGCTGACCAATCCCAGGAGGTGAGGACGGGAGAGCGGGATATGGTAGGCCAAAACGGAAGCATGCGACGTTTCTTGCCGAATACCCTGGCGATGTCCATTTAAGCTTGACATATATCCAATAGCGAATGGACGGACGCACCAATTATCGAAGACCTGGTTCTCAGTCGGATCGAGCATCACACACGGATCGTCGATAGCGCTGATGACGTCTACCCATGTATTGAACACGTCTGACACCGGAACGAGCTCGTTAAATCGCATGTCGTACGTGTTGACGTCGGAGACGTGTACCACGGTCGGGTTAGGGCATACTCTCTCAAAAAAGTATTTGTTGACAGATCTGGGTGTGTTGTCCCCGGGAAGCATTGGGCCACCAACCATAGGGCCTGCATGAATGAGAATGAGGACGAGGACGAGGGGTGCGAGTGCGTACCGCCTAGGAGAGCAGAGAGGGGTATGCGGGAGGGTGTCAGTTTCCCATCAAGATCAGAGTAGATTGAACCGTTGGCATTCCATACGTAGTCGTCGAACACAAAGCTTCAACTACAATAAACACCAGTGGATCGGAAAACGGTGGAAGGGCAAGTACTGACGAGCGACCAGTGGCATGAGCAAGCAGAGCCATCATCACATAATCTTGCATCACGTTTCCCCATCCCGAACCTACGGAAAGAAATAGTTCGTCACATGCACGAGTACGACCTTTGGGAAGACTGACTGTGAGCGTGTTGGGCAGCCCAGAAGTACTTGATGGAGCTGTTGTTCTCGTAAGCATCGTAGTGTGGCAAGTTTAGTTCTCGTTGTCGGAAGTCGTGATAGAGTGGTGGGAGACGGTCTTCTGGTATGGACAGGTCGGGTGGTGGTGGTGGTGGTTCATGTGAGAGCACGAAGAATGCCGTCAATACAAGGACAGTTGCCAGCGCTACCAAAGACCGCAGCAGTCGTCTTGTGAGGCCATACGAGGAAGGACTCCGCGGTCGTTTTGGATGTGTGACGGGGAGGACGTGTCCGTCTGACTTGCCATGGAAGGCCGTCATCCCACTGGTAGTGTGCTGGTGGGGGGGGAATGAAGTGTGGAGTGGAGCGGCACCGCATCCGACATCGTAGCCGCCGTGATGCGAAAAACTAAACGCGAGGACCGCAGTTCACCCACTCCGACGCTTACCCGGGATTCTTCGTATACCAATTTGCCGAATTAGAAGGCCCAGCTCGAACGAGGACAGATAAGAACACCTCAGATACCATTCGAAACCACAGTCGTGATGTGGAACCGCAACACTCAAGGACAACTATTTTACCTAGTTACTGCCATTTGCTTCGATGACCCTTGCCAGGTCAAATGCCCAAATGCCACCAGTGTCCCGATGTGACTGGGTGGACGCTAATAGTGGTGTGGCACGGGAATATACGACTCGTCAACCGGCCGAAACTTCCGGTGTGGAGGTTACACTTCTGCTGTGATCACCCCATGGCCACCAACATCACCTTCCACCCGGGTGTGTATAATCTGCATACCTACCTGGTCTGTGACATCCGACGCAGCTATGTCGTCCAGGCTCCGTCAGTGCCGGTGAAAGATCGCAGTTGCTCAACCAGAAGGGAGTCACCATCTGGTTGACCGGCCTCAGTGCTAGCGGCAAGGTGACTTCTCATCACCGTTCCCCCTCGTGGATTCTGATTCCCTTCTAACTATCCCAGTCTACCATCGCCTGTGCTCTCGAGCAATCCCTGTTGCACCAAGGCAAGTTTGCCTACCGCCTTGACGGAGACAACGTCCGCCTCGGTCTCAACAAAGACCTCGGCTTCGATGAGGACTCCCGAGTGGAGAACATTCGGCGTATCGGAGAGGCAAGTACATGTCACGTTACGGCATTATAGCCAGCATCATTTTCGCCCCCTATCCTGTTTCCAGGTTGCCAAATTGTTCAACGATGCGAGCTGCTTCGCTATCACGGCGTTCATATCACCGTATCTGCTAGACCGGAAAACAGTTCGCGAACTGCACGAGAAAGCCAACCTTGGCTTCGTCGAAGTCTTCGTGGATGCTCCACTCAGCATTGTCGAGCAACGCGACCCCAAGGGCTTGTATAAGAGAGCTCGCACCGGGGAAATCAAAGGTCGGCGATCCTGTTGTCGGAGAAACGTACCGCGGGTGCTCAACATTTTCTTGTCAGATTTTACCGGTATATCAGCCCCCTACGAGCCGCCCGAGAATCCGGAAATTCATATCAGAACGGATGAATGCGATGTTACCCAGGCCGTGAAGACTATCACCGAATACCTTGTGTCCCACGGTTACCTTTAGATGAGGCCATTGTGTAGGGCTAGCCTGGTGTTATGCAAATTGTAACATTATTACATCGCGTAAGTAACGAAGATAGATGCTAGAATCAGAGACGAAATGGTGACCTGCAAGACAGTCCTAGCTTAACTGAGGAATAGCCCCAATTGTCATGGAACGCTGCGGCGGATGCTTGTTAGGAACGATCTCATCGATGGCTGCAACAAATTTGTTCTCGGCCATCGGCTCTTCTTGCTCCTCTTCGATGGAATCGCTGGGTGATTGCTCAAGCATGTTCGCAAAGCCAACTTCAAGGACACTGAACCACTTGGTAAGGTCGTCTACCGTTCGGGCCAGGTGAGCATTGGTAGCTTCATGCGACCCCATGAGAGAGCACAAGTCAACAGGTCGAACGGGAGGCCCCATGCAAGGAAATTCCACCGGTACAGACGTGAGCGAGCGTGACGCTCCATGTGAGGATCTTGCAGGTTGAGCTTTGCTATGGCCGACGAGTCCGCAAGTCGAAGTACTCGGATTAGGCAGGGAAATGGTTGATGCATTAGCATCTGGTCGACTCCCCAGAGCGAAGGAACTAGTCTCCTTCCCGCTGGTCGAACCAAGCAAGCTGGGGGAAGGAGCAAATGGACGAGCTATGTGAGCAAGTGACGAAGGTGACGGTGGCAACAAATCGGTCATTCCAAGCTGGTGTTCTGACGTGAGGGTAGGAACCTAAAATCGCTATCAAGATTATTGAACCCAAGCTCACGATGGGCTTACCTTGACAGCATCTTTCAGACTGGGCAAAAGTAGACTCCTGGAAGGACTGCCACCATCACTCCCTTTGCTTGAGGAACTCCCACTCCTTTCTCGCGCGGCAAATGGTCTGATAGGCGGTAACAGAGGAGACGTCGGGGTGCTTTCCATCACAGCCACAGAAGCCTGTCGATTAAGACTTGGCTTCCTAGAGATCAGCGCTCCAAGCGACGGGCCCTCTGTGGGCAGAGAAGAGTCTGTATCAGCAGCATTTGCGGATCGGGCCCTACCAATTGAAGGCGGAAGAGGCAACGGGCCTGCGGGCGGAGGCCGTTGAGGAGGAATAGAAGGAAAAGCTGCATCCAGGGACGACTGAGGTCGATGCATACTTTGCGTGATATTCGGAGCACTGATGTGGTTTGGCGAGATCCGGTTGTGGGTCTTCGCATTGTGGGTGGAAGGTACCGAGGGACCGGAACTTGCTGTACTATCAACGGCTGGGGAGCTTGGGAAGGGAAACTCGTGGGCAAGCCTGCGCCGCGGCAAGGCCCCTTCGCCTGGGGAAGGAGGGACTGGTGGGACAAGAAGCGTTGGGCTAGGAGTGCTCCGTTGCGAAGGTGGAGGAAAAGAAGGTGCTTTCAAAGTGTCGGTAATCGCTGTGTCGTCGTCGAAAAGACCCCGTAGTGACGTTGGAAGGCGACTTGTCGCCTGCTGCACCGTCGACGCCATTGTAGATGGGTCAGTCGAGCCCGGGGAAGAAACCTCGTCGTCGACACCTTTCGATGACTTCCCTGTCCAATCCTTGATCGTGTCGAATTCCCAGAGCTCCTCATCTTGTTCTATTATCCTCTCCAGGCTACACAAGTTCAAGTGAGAAATCAGCCAGCATATTTCGCACTATACAACGCACTCTCTCTTCTCTTCGCTTTCCCAATCGAGAGGTTCTGCGAGGCTGGCTCGTGCACCACCGTTCTGCATCCACACCTCATACCGATGGATGAGTTCTTTCAAAATCGAGATGTTTAATTTGGAGGCCGACTTAATCCACTTTGTCTTTGAGAGTTCATCTGCCGACAGGCGCTGTCTCCGGACTTCAGTAGATTGAAAGAGTGAGTAGATCCGGCATCACCTACATCATTTGGAGACTCTCGAAGACAGTGAGAGACAAAATCACGCATGTCTTTGCTCCCGTCCCCTTCTCCCAAGCGTGGTGGTTTAACACGCGCGATCAGTTGCATGACCTTGATAGCATCTCTCAAGTCAGAGTGTGGTGGTGCTCCTTTGACCATTTCATATGTCATGATGCCCAAGCTCCAAATATCCGCCTTGCTATCGTACACAGGAGTTGGCTGCGCCACCTCCGGCGCCATCCAGTTTGGAGTCCCCATGAGCGTGTTTCGCTTACTCGTCGTGCTGGCCGACAGGGCTGAGACTCCAAAGTCACATATCATCACTTTGCCAGCTGCAGTGATGAGTATGTTGGCAGCCTTAATGTCGCGGTGTATGATAGCAGATTTATGAAGGTAGCTGAGCCCTGCGAGAACCTCCCGGATGATGATCACGATGAATCGCTCCTCCAAGGCACCATCTTTCGAAGTCTGCATGAGGGTTCGGACGCTTCCTCCCTGAGCGAACTCCATTGCAATCCATACACGAGGCCCATCTAGATAGCAACCATAGTACTTTGTCACGTTGGGAGCGTCGCGGAGCTGTGTCAGCAGTGCAACTTCGCGCTGGATGGCCTCGACGTCGTCGTCAGCGGTGTCGAGGTTGATGATCTTGAGTGCAACGATGTTCCCGGTTGGGACGTGGATGCCCTTGTGGACAGAGCCATACGCACCCTTACCGACAGTCTCCAGACGCCGAAAGAGCTGGTGGACGCTGGGCTGCGCCATGGGAGCCGGAATGGGAATGTGCCGGTCAGTGAGACTCTGAGAGCTGAGCGTCTCATTGTCGAGGCTGACATGGTCACTGCCACTTTCCACGCACTGCAAAGACTCGCATCACACATCCTAACACCACGCCCCGTACATCTGAAATAAGGCTGAACCGTGCAAATGATAGAACTACATGTTGTGGTCCAGTAAATACTAATCAGGCAGTTTCTACTTTGAAAGGTGATAAGATCTGAGTCAGAGCGATCAGTCTTGTCTTTCCGGATCCATCAACGCCAACGGCCATGGAGTTCAATGTGGCACCCCCTCGACCAGTTACTCGTGAATTTCTTGCTATCGTGTTGGCTGGATTTGGAAACGAGTGAGCACTTATCTCAGAGCTCTTCACAGATCTGACTGTCTAGGCTCGTCCCTCTGAGCGGCGATTTAGGCAATCAGCCATGCCCGAAGGCATTGCTTCCCATATCCAACAAGCCCATGGTAGACTACGTGCTCTCCTGGATAGAAAAGTCTGGTATAAAAGGTGGGGGAACTCTTCTTTTTTCTAAGTGATTTCCTGTTGGCCCGACCAGGCATGTTCTAGATGTTCTGCTCATATGTCCTCCGTCTCACCGCCCTGCCATCTCCCATTTCATCTACTCCGAGTCACTCGCCTCGTCCCCTTCCCTTCGCATAGATCTCCAGACATTCGATGACTCACAGGGACTGAGTATCGGAACGTGCTCCGTTCTGAGACACTTCTCCAGCCGTATCAAAGAAGATTTCGTTATACTTCCATGTGATTTCATACCTCCCCCATCTCTCCCCCTCTCCAGACTTCTTAACAAGTTTCGTATTGAAACGATGTCTGATGGTGCTATTGCAACCACCTGCTGGTTCGAACCACCCTCCGGGAAAACTGCTGTTCCCGAAGAATGGGGGACAAATTCTCAGTTGACTCCGATTGTATGGGACGACTCCACCGGGACGTTGTTGTACGTGGACACGCTGGACAACACTGACCGCAATCCAGAGGAGCTGGAGCTTCGGATGAGTCTCCTGTGCAGATACCCCCGAACCAATATGTCGTCTAAGTTGCAAGACTCTCATATTTATGTTTGTAAACGCGAAGTTTTAGGCGTTCTACAACAAAAAGGCGAATTTGATTCCCTACGGGAGGACTTTTTCCCTTGGCTATGCAAGCTCCAATATCAAAAAACTAGACATGCGAAGTACGGTTATGGTGTGTGCTTTCGGCGCGAGTTGTGTAGCAGGTAACTGATGCGCATTTTGGTAGTCTTTGGGAATGTCGAAGGGTCTGAACCGTCGTCTCCAAACGAAAGCCACGAAGACCGGTCGGTAACAGGGAGTCTCCGCGTGGGCATCGTTATCCACCGGGCAAAAGAGGGGTTCTGTGTTCGCGCGAACGATCTGCCCTCGTACCTTGAGGCAAACCGACACGTGCGGCGTTCTGTACCTGTGACTCTTCTGAGCTGACATGTGTCCAGTTCGTCAGTGCCGCATCCTATACCTTGCCATCTGACCCCCAGATGCGGTCACTTGTCGACGGCAAGGCTTCTATTTCACCCGATTCCACTATTGGTGATTTCACCAAAGTTGACGAAAGAGCTTCAATAAAAAAGTCTGTCATCGGCAAGCACTGCGTCATTGGCAAGATGGCCAAGATTGTGGGCTGCGTCATCCTTGATCATTGTATTATTGCCGTTGGGTAAGAAATCAGCTGGCTTGCCTAGTTTACTTTTGTTCACATGTGATAATTCATTTCCAACCAGTGCGAAATTGGACAGTTCAATTCTGGGAAAGAATACGACAGTTGGAAGTAAGGCAAGTCTTGTGCACTGCGTTACCCAGGGTGGTTATGAGGTGAAGGAAAACGGTTAGCAACGGTCCCCATATATACCCATTTATTCTCACATCACATATAGAAAGCTACCGGAATGAAAGACTCGACATCACAGATTGGGAGGCAGAAACAAGTGAGGAGCAAGAAGAGGATGAAGATGAAGAACCCGAAGACAGCGATCATGAGTGTAGTTAGAGTCGCGCAAGACGTATACGGCAGTGCCCCACAGTGATTGAACACCGTGTTGGCCAAAAGATGAGTTGCTATGTGGTCCCTACAGACAGATATCTTGCTTCCCCTAATAAACGTATAAGTGCCTCGCCGAGTCCCGCCTATACCGTGCAGTGGTCGGAAGGATCTCTAGCCAGCTATAGTCCGAAGTTGGAGTCCTACGTCGTTGAAATTCACTGCACCGACCCATGTTAACCTGTTCAAGGTTATTGCTTTAGTCTTTGTAATGGCCACTGCAGACCAATCTGATCACCGAGAGTGCAGTAGTCCCGCTATCGAGAATATCGTGGCCGAACCTGACGGTAAGATACGACTGACATACGAGATTGTCGATCGATTTTTGGATGGACAGACCGACAAGGTGACCAGCGGAACTGCTCGTTCGTTGCTTAGTAATCAGATAGTCTCCTATCTTGCAGGTAGGTCACTATCTCTTCGTACTTGCGTTTTTGTTTGTTCCAATGGATCTCAACAATGAATTCTTCGCCTGGCGCGTTTCTGCTGCTGCTAAGAAATTAAGCAAAAAGGGCTCGTCTGTCTCTCGCGCCGACACCGCTTTTGGCGATCTCGGTCTCAACAAGGCCAAGGGTGTCATCTTCCATGGCATCAGCCATCCCTGACCTTTGACCCCTACCCCTGTGCTATCCCCAACTTCTACGGCTTGCCTACAAACCCAATCTGCGTCTACAAAACCGGTGATACATAGCCGGTTGAGGGCCCCGAGGCGTATCGCGTGCGGAGGGAGGCCCGGCCCATTTGCAGCCACCGATCCGGGACGGATGGTGCACACCAGGCGTAGCAGTCTATAATTTCCTCGATTCCCTTGAGGTCAGGTGGACGACCATCGATCCCGTCTGCTTTGCCGAGCAAGGAGGGAAAGCCGGTCTGCTCTACCTATGGATTGGCGTCGTACCTAGATCTCTGTCCTTTGAGGACGCAAAGGCTGTGGCAGACGGCTGCAAGGAAATCCTTGCCAATGCTCAGTTCCATGACGTCGAGATTGCCTTCAGGGAGTCTATCTTCACTCAGTCCGCTGGCCCACAGCTTCTCAACTACCTCCCCTTCTCCCTCTTGAACTCCACCGACGACATACGTAGCACCTTTACTCCCTCTCTCGGTGTTCAGATCGCTCCCAGGGACACCCCTCATTATGAGGGCACCGGTGCCCTGTACCTTCGTGAGAGCTATTGCGCAGAGGAATGGGAGCTAAACGAAGAGCAATAAGACAAGAACACTTGCCTTGTTAGAACAGTAGTAGATTTGAGGCAATAAGCTTGGGGCTCAGTGTTGTTGGTTGGACAGAAGAAAGCAATGTGGATTGTGATTGCAATAAAGACTAAGGGAGAAATGTCCCTGGTTTATATACATGAGTAGGTACACATGGACCAATAGTGCAAAAGGAAACTACTACTATGTATAGTAAGGAATAGTGGAGAATGTCATGGAATATGATGTAGTAAGTGATGTCATATCTGATGTCACTGTGGAGCTGATTGCTAAGGCAAGTCATGTGATAGACAACGTGTTGATACATGTGTTTGTCTAGATGTGTCTAGATGTTGGAACATATAGAATATTTCCAACACTCCCCCTCGCTCTAAAATGGGAGTGTAACAAGTCCCATTGATGAGCGATTCGTCTCAAACTTTTGCCACATCAAAGATTTCATTAGACCATCTGCTTTTTGTTTGTCAGTTTGAACATATTCAATACCGAACAAACCATCTTGTACACATTTGCAAACGAAGTGCCATTGGATGTCAATATGTTTAGATCGACCGTCTGATACAGGATTCTCAGCAATGAAGTGAGCTCCCATATTGTTGCAGTATAATATGGTCTTTTCTGTTTTTAACTTGAGTTCATCAAATAGCATTGACAGCCATTTGATTTGATGTGCAGTGTCACAGAGAGCCATATATTTGGCTTCTGTAGAAGAGAGTGTGATAGTCTTCTGTTTCCTTGATCACCAAGAGATTAGGGAATTGCCAAGGAACATGGCATAACCAGTAGTTGAATGACAAGTGTCTTTATTTGAAGCCCAATCAGAATCTGCAAAGCCATAAATCTGAGATTCTAGACCAGAATAGTACAAGGCCATTTTTGGTGTGGATGCAATATAGCAAACTATATGCAATGCCTTGTTGTGATGATCCTCAGTAGGATTTGCCATATATTGAGACATGTGAATGACAGCAAATGCAATATCTGGTCTTGTGCCGAGTGCCATATAGAGTAAAGACCCTATAATAGACTGGTACTGGCTTCGGAGTGGCTTGATAATCCAATGGTGCTTTTTCTGGTTGATATCCCGATGGTAATGGAGTGCAAACATTTTGAGCAGTCTCCATGTTAAACCTTTTGATGACCTTTTTAACATATGGAATCTGATCCAAGTACAGTTCCTTTTTGGATTGATTTCGGTGGATTTGTAGTCCAAGGTATTCCTTGACTTCACCAAGGTCATGGGATTCCCATTTCTTCATAAATTCTTGTTTCTTGGCTTTGAGAAGACATATGTCCAAACCAATAAATAGACCATCATTGACATAAACAAGGAAGATGACAATGCCAGCTTTTGATGAATGGATATAGATCCCAGCATCTACTTTAGAACATATATAGCCCATTTTGAGTAGAGATTGATGAAGGGCTTTATTCCATGCTAGTGCCACTTGCTTTAAGCCATATAAGGCTCGAAGCAGCCAATAGACCTTGTGTTCTTGACCTGAAACTTTGAAACCTTCTGGTTGCTCCATATAGATTTCTTCATCAAGATTTCCATATAGGAATGCAGTTTTTACGTCCAGTGCTTCCATTTCCCAATTTCTTTGGGCAGCAAATGATAGGATGATTCAAACTGTTTTGAATTGAGTGACTGGAGAGAAGGTATCTTCAAAGTCAGTGCTGAATTCCTGTGTGAAGCCTTTTGCCACAAGATGAGCTTTGTAATGACCATCGCTTTTGATTGCAAATACCCATTGACACTTAACAGGTATCTGATTCTTTGGAGGATCCACTAAAGTCCAAACTTGTTTTTCCTTGATAGACTTTAATTCATCTTTCATAGCATCGAACCACTTCTTTTGTAAATTGGGAGATAATTTTAGCACATCTTTGAAGTGTTCTGGTGATTCTTTAACACATGCAGCAAGTGCAAATTCAAAAGGATGCATTTCAGCCTGTTGGTCCGGCATGCCTTTTGGAGAATCAGGGGTATCCAGAATAGGAGTGAGTGGTGATCCAGGAGTTGTTGGTGTTGTTCCTTGTGGATGTTCAGTCCACTGATGAGGAACTTCAGGAGGTACAAGTCTAGCAGGTAGACAAGGTGATGGAGGTCTAGCTTCCTCTCCAAATCTCCTGTAATCATCTCTGGACTGCTGAGCATGTCACTCTGCATTATGAATCCACTCTTGTGCTTGATCTTGATTTTATTGAATATCTTGTTCAATCTGGACTGGAGGACAATCTCCATAAATGTTGCCAGGACGAGATACTGGTATAAAATGATGCTTTGGACGAGGTTCTCTGTCATCGGCAGGTGGTTGTGCTCTGTGAACATTGTGCGAGTCACCTTGAATGAATTCTGGTTGGTAAGGGTGCCATATATGATGAGGGTTGACTGGTGGTGTGGCAGCAGGTGCTCTTCTTGGTTGTTGGGCTCTAGGTTGGTCCGCAGCTCTCTGCTGTGGGTATGGATTTTGTGGTTGTGGTGGATTAGGTGGATTTAGTGGTTGCCAGTGATGAGGTGGCTGGTTGGATCTGATCAGGATCTGGAAGTGAATGTAGGCTTTCTGAATTGGATGAGGTGTCCTGGTCATCTTCAGAAATGGGGTCAAAGGTCTTGGTCTTGGTTTTGCTATCTGAACAAAAAGGAAAAGAGTCTTCTACGAATTTTGCAGTACAAGAAAGAATGATCTTTTGACCATGTAAAAATTGGTATCCTTTTGTATTAGGCTCATAGCCTAGGAAAACCATTTCGACTGCATGTGGTTCCAATTTATCTTTTCATTTATCTTTTGGAACCCATACAAAGGCTTTGCAGCCAAAGGTGCAGAAGTATGATATGTTGGGTACTTTCCCTAAGAAAAGCTTGACAGGAGTTTTGAAAAGAATCCTCTTGAGAGGAGTTCTGTTGTACACATGAAGTGCACAATTGAAGGCGAAATTCCAGAATCACTTTGGAATGCAAGCTTGGTGTCAAATGGTCCCAGCTTTCTCAGAAATAGTCTGATTAAAGCATTCTGCATGACCATTCTGTTGTGGCTGGTCAGCAATAGATAGATAATGAGTAACACCACACAAAGAAAGGAGCGCCTTGAAGGTGGAACCCATAAACTCTCCCCCTCGATCCAAATGAAGCACCAGTAGATGATGGCCAGTAGTATTTTGCATAGATACCAGCCAGTTGGCAAAAGCAGTATATGTGTTGGATTTGTTACGAAGGTAGAGACAGAAACCATAAGATGAATAATCATCCAAGAGGGTTAAAACATAAGTGGACCGGAAGTAAGATTCGACAGGTAATTCAAGAAGGTCAGCATGGACCAACTCGAGAGGTTTAGTTGTGTGTTTCCAGGAAGGTTTAAAGGATTTGGAAGACAATTTGCCTTGTGTGCAACCTTTACAAGGAGTAGTCTCCCCCTGTATTTGTATGTTAGGCCCTAATTGGCGAATGTGTCTGAGAACAGCTTGAGCTGGGTGGCACATGTGATTATGCCATAAAGACTCTTCTGTGATCCTAACCAGAGGGAAAAGGACCCCATAGGCAGTAGTAGGTGGAAGTGGTATGCCCACAAACCAATGAAGGGGTGAAGTTGGTGAAGCTACTTTTGCTTCAAGGACAGTCCAGCTGTCTGGTGCTCGGATTATCTTGCTATTAAGTGTCACTGTGCTCTTGTATCCATTTTTCAAGAGTGCATTTCTTGAGCATAATCTCTTTGAGAAAAGAGGACTGTAAACAACATTATGTAGTGGCAGGTTATTGCCATTTTCCAGGCGAATAACCACTGTTCCTTCACTGAGTAATTGAACTCTACTTAACCCAGCAGTAGATGCAAGGGAAGGAGTTGTAAACTCTTGAAAAGTGAGGAGATCAGTTTTAAATGGAGTCACATGGTGTGATGCTCCACTATCCAACATCCATATTGACTCACCCTTTGGAAGGTTCTTGAAACTGACATGTACACCCAAGGGGTAACAGTCATAAGAATCGAAGGCATGTCCATCGAATGCAGAAGGGAGATATCCTGATGCAGATTCGTTTGGATCATACTTGATGTCTGGATTATGTTTTATATGAAAAGGTTTACATACAGCTTTTTCTGGCACAGATTTGTGAAATTGAGATAAAGACATTGGGTGATTTTTCTTTTTATGATTTTTCACAAATACAGATTTTTGGAGAGATCCTCCATTGTCACAATCATGTCCTCGAAATTGAGGGGCAGACTGATCATTATTCCATACTGTCAGTGAAGCCAAACCACCATTGTCCTCAACATCCCTATTCTCCACCATGTTCTCACAAGCCAAAAGGGAATCTCCCACTTGTATTGAGGGTGAGATGGAACCACCTGGACATAGCCTGTCTGACTCAACAATGGAAAGGGAAATCGTCCTCTGATAAGAGTCCGAGTTTGTCCATTCCCACTGTTCCCAAAGGGATGAGTCCACTCGCTGGTGAGTGAGGGCTGCTCGGCGACAAATAGAACATGTGCAAGGAGAATTAGACTTGGGAATGTTTACACAAATCTTGACTGACTCAACTCGGTCCAGTTGATAATTGGCAATTTCATCAATATACCAAGGAGCGAGTTGGCTGGTGGTAGCATCAACAGGATTGTTGGGAGTATTGGCAACAGCTTGCATTGCCATTTCAATATCATCCCATGACAGGTCTGGATCATAAGTCTCGGCATTTGTGATGACATGTTGTCTGAGATAAGTGTTGAGGTTGGAAGAATAAACTCGTTCAACCAGAGTAGGATCTGGGAGAGAATATTCAGGAGAGTTTTCATGGATTGGAAAATCAAGAGCAGTAACATCAAACTCTTGAGCAGCATCTTCATAATTCTCAAATGAAGGTTGATCAGAATGATTGCCAAATACTCCAGCATAAGAGTGAGTGTTTGGATCGTAGGAATCCTCAGGGAATTCCTTGACATAGGCAGAGTTTATCACTT